GTGATTGCATCAACAATTGCCAGACCTGATAAATTAGATTACAAGAAGAGGAATCTTATTTGTGTTGCGCACCAAAGATAACGTTCATTATCATGCAAAACAAACGTCAAATGAAAACCTATTAGGATTGATTTACATGCACGTACATCCTAAGTACTGGATTGATTGCAATATCGGGTTTATGTCTACAAGACTGTCTGTGAGTTTGCTTTTCTCTGCAGACAGGAGGGATGAGATTTGAGCTGTCAGAGAGGGGAATTATTCGAGAAATTATGTGAAAATAAAAGCCTCGCAGCACGCGGCGGCTGCTAATGCGAGGGAATAATTGTTGCGCTAGTTGAGATGGAAAAACAATCACAGTTTGACGGCGGGAAAATCTGTGTCAGTGGGATGGATTCATATTTTCCTCGTTTGATTTGAGGATTAAGTGTTTCTAAGTGAAGTCGATTTTCTTGTCTCTAACAGTCGATCACTGAATTTCCCTTTTTACAAAAACAGAGTCATAAATCAAGCTTTTTACATCAATGATTAAAGGATTACACGCTAACAAACAAATATGATGTTTGCTGTAATCTGGGTTTCTGATTGAATATGACGGGCTTACACGCGGGGGTCAGCCGCTAATCTGATTGGTGGAGCTGTAACTGGGAGAAGAGCTGTGGTGTCCAGTTTATCAGGCAGCAGCTGATGGTCTCTGCAAGAGCGGAAACAACAGATTTGTTCGACGCAGAGACTCCGCGGACGGAGAGATATCAGTCGGCAGCTGTTGTCTGTGACATTTCAATAAATGAATCTCGGTCATTTGGTCGACGAGGACAGGATCCTTCCACAGCTGCAGCCAGTTTTTGGATTTTCTTATCGGAGGAGCTGAGCTGTGCCAGGAAGACTTGAGCTCTTCTGACCGAGTCAGAGCTGAAATTAGATCACAACTAAGTTTGTTTTTTTAGAGGCCAAATGAGGACAAACCAACCGAAGTAGAAGACAGAGAGGGAGATGCTCACTGGTTTCTGACTAATAAGCTAACTCTTTATATAAAAAAAAATTAACTTCATGATCTTATGCAAAAGAAGAAGCCAAAATATCAATTAATGTTACCCCACACCACTTTTCTGGGTGTTGTCCTTGATGAGGGTCTTAAGTGGAACAATCATATCAGTGGAGTTTGCAAAAGGTCAATGAAGAGTCTAGGTATAACTAATAAAGTCTGTCCCTTATCAATCCCTCTGCTCTCTTGACTTTGTGTTATAGCTTCCTATTTCCTTATATGAACTATTGGGATATTGTTTGGTCTGCAACGTATCCAACTTACCTCAAGAAATTATTATTAATCCAGAAAAGATTCTTAAGAATATCTCGACCCAGCAGACACGAACTTTCTGCAACTCTCTTTATGTAAAGGTCGTCACACACCGGGAACGATGCAAATAAAGCGAGAAGACTGACCCAACAGCAGACTGAGTGTTTTTCAGTTCTGATTAGACACTAGTGTTGAGATGTCTGTCTGTCATGAAAGCATGTACTGAGTCAGGGCCAGTACCAGATAAGAACATTAAACTATAATCCAAAAACGTAAAGTGACAACCAAGACCTAATGGTGCTGTGACAGCAACGCTGTGATTGAGTTTACAGTGAAAATACATATGGTATGTTGTATCTGAACAGGTTAGCTTATGAGCTAAAGTTACTTAGCACAGATGAAAGTTAAAACAAAGACGTTTAGCAAACTGTTAAAGCACACAAACCATCGTCATATGAGAAATCCGACGCTATGACTCTCCACAAGTTGTCCTTCAGGTCGTTATCTTTGTAATATTTGTGTCTTTTATCAAAAATCACTCTGTTCTCCGACACGTAAACAATCAGCCGGTCGGCCATGTTGGATATACCGGTGAATCTGACATCGCAACAACACGAAATCATGAACACTTGTAAAAAAAATATTGACGTCTGAAATAATCGTACGATAAAAACGCTCCTGGTGTTTAAGGACCTTAATACTCAATCTTACTGATTAACAAACTGAGTGTCTTTCACTCTCATTAAGTTCATCAATAGGAAACAAAACCTTCTTGACACTTCCCAAAACTTTTTTACCTTTTCATCCGACCTTCACCCAAACTCAACAAGACAAAACGGCCATCTTCAGTTTCCTTTCTGTCCAACTTCTTGTCATCAGTCTAATATCACTTTTAGAGGATTGAAACTATGGAATGATCTGGATGGATCTCTAAAATCAAAATTATCCTTCAAATCCTTTAAAAACTCCTCTAATCATGTCTTAAACACGTCTGTTACATCAGTCATGTTCACGTTTCTTTTCTTTTTATGTAAACTCATATTGTCTCTATCTCTGGTTGAGCAGGTTGATGATTAGTCTATGTTCTTTTTATGACAATCTGTATATGTTTTGACATTTCCCTACTCAACCTGTCTATGTCCTAATTACCTTGTTGTTTGCACTCTATACCTTCACTGCCCTGACGGGAGTAAAACTCTGTATAAGCATATCCACTTCATTCCCTCCTTGCACTGTTTTCAATCTGTGCTAAATAAATAAATACAAATACAAGCAGAACTATTGAGAAGTTCGAAATAATAGCTATGGTCAGGATTTCCAAATGCAAAAAGTCTGCAGGTCTTTAAAGTCCAAAGTAGGTGTTTTACTTTGAGGCAGAATCAGGCCTCACAGCCTCATGACTTCCTCTGGGTCATTCACACATCGATGCCACTGTTGGGTCATTAAGGTCTCAGTACGGTGACGTGAGAATCCTCAGGAAGAAAGGTGCGAATGGGTGTCAAAGCGCTCATAAGGCATGTCTCAGGGCGCCTTTGAAAGGAGCTGATAAGTGCTGCCTCAGGGCCTGGAACTGTGTCACACTCTCACGACAAAACTGAGAGCGGCATTGTGTTTTAAAGTGACCCAAAACCACTTCAAAAGAGAGAGGGGGAAGACGCGCTTAAGAGAAACCATTCAGCTGCTTTTAAACTCGTTAAGGTCGGTGAACTCGTGGTGAGGCTATATTTACGAGCAGACAAACTTTCAACATGAAGCGGTCATTCTTGATCTAGTTTGATTTCATGTTGCAGACACATAAACACAAACAGGACAAAGACATAATAACACATGCATGTCCAAACTCAACAGCTGCAGAAGTTAATCACAGCTCATGCTCTCATGGCAGGATGTTCATTCGTTTCTGCAGATACTGTTATTTTCAGTCGAAAGGTGACGATGAGAAGTCCACACTTCTCAGATGTGTCGACTCGACTCCCATAGGTGTAAGTTTGCGGTGCATAAACAGGCAACGTGTCGATTTTTAACACTAATAGAGTCAAACTAACGAGAACTGATTGAAACATTTTACAGAGTTTGATGTAAATTATGCAGAAACGACAGAAATCACTCCCTTATGTAAATCACACACAGACACACACACACACACAGACACAGACTGAGAGTATTATGGAGCAGTGAGATTTGGGGGAATCGCAGCAGGGAGTGTGTCAGAGAGCAGTGAAAGCGGCCGTCAGTAAGTCGCACTAACAGGTCACCGAGGGGAGAGAGAGGGATGAGAAACTGCCCGAGGACGACAGAATTAAGCTGCTAGACTCGAATGTTTACTGAGATATGAAGAGTTTCAGACCGAAATACGACATCCAGAAATCCTGACGACAAAGAACAAACAAGTCCATGTGTTTACTGAATAAAAATCTCAGTTTAAAAACACTGAAAATAAACCTTAATTTAACACCATCAGTTGACACGGTTTTGTGTCTCAGTGTACACGTGTGATATAATGTTCACTATATGTTAATATATGTCATATAAAATTACAGCTGATTAAACAAGTAAAACCATGGCTGCAGCCCAATCCAGGAGCTGCTGTATGTTGGCTGGGTAGCCAAGTTGCCACTTGTTGCTAAGCGACAGAGGAGTTGCCAGCCAAAGGGTAGAAACAGTAATGCTGCTTTCCAATTGTACTTGGAAGTCGGAATTTCTGAGCTCCAAGTCGGAAATGACTCGGAAAGTCTGACAACATCATAATCCAAGATGGCAGCGCAGTGAATCAACAGTAAAGAGTAACAGTGAAAGCTCTCGTAACGTGTTATTTATTAGCAATTAAATAAGTGGTTGATGTTGTACTGCCCAGCGTCTAACTGTGAACATGGTGCTATGGTGTTTGTAAGAGTAAAATACTGTGTTATGTTTACAACTGGTATAGCTAACAACTGCTGACAACGGCTAACAACAAACAACAACTGACAACGGCTAACGACAGCTGACAATTGTAAATAACAGCTAACAACAGCTTATAGTAGGCATCCATCTTGGTTTTCCAACTTGTTAACTGGAACGCCGTCAACTCAGGTCGAACGTCATTCCCAGCTACGACACCCTACTTCCGAGGTAACTGGAACGCAGTATAAAATCCTGTTTGACCGGTACAGAAAATCAGTTGCCTTATGATAATAATCATAATAATAATGTTTTTTTTAAAGCTCCTGTGAGGAACTTTGTGTTAGTGTTGAATTTGGCGCCCCCTGTGGTTAAAGCAGTTATCTCGTCCTCTACATGTTTTTTTAGTCGTGTCTTTATACTAAAACCTCATCCTGCTGACTTTCACACTCAAATGCGTCACTGTGAATTCTCAAAGTGAAAACAAAAACTCACAAACTCAAAAAAGAAACACCGCAGCGCTCCGTGTCTGTGTGTGTCAGCGTGTTTATCAAACCAGCTGATCGGATTCAGACACCGAAGGGACCAGAGAGGAAATAACTCTGACGTCAGGGAGTCCTCGCTGACAGAAACAGTTTGACTGACGTGTGTGAACAAACAGCAGGACTTTCACTGAGTCGGCGTTTGTCTCATTCATATTTCAGTTTCTTCCTTCAGAGCATGCTTGAGGAAAACGTATTTAAATGGCAGTATAATACACACTCGTCTGCTGTCTGTTCATGTGATGAAGCACTGAGGGGAAATTAACACAAAGAGGTCTCGCTTCAGTAAATCTGGAATAATTTATTCTCTTCCTCCGTCCTATCCTGACGTGGGATATTTTTCAGTCTTCCTTTTCAAAGTAACAACATGAGACGTTAAAAAAATAATTCATGTACAAACATATCTGGAATGTTTCATCTAGGTGTCTGCATGCATCTTGTTGTACAAATCGTCCTAAAAAAGTGCATTTATTTGACATCCTGTCTTTCAAAAACATCTTCAAAAATCTGCTAGTTTGTTTGCAAATATAATACAAATCTCATTGCTCAAATATTCAGAAGTTTGGTTAATGTCCAGTGCAAATTCAGGATAGTGAGAGCAGACTGTGTCAGCAACTCTGCTCTCTGTTAACACTTAAAATATTTTACTCTAGCTGCAGTTTCAAAGCATCATTTTGCATGATTGTTCTGTAAAATAATTAATAAACATAGAAACTGGTGTTTCCATCAGTTCAGAGATCAGTACATCTAACGGCAGTCCTGGGGTCAAGTTGTTGTTGTTGGTTTTGGTTGTTAGTTTGCAGGGACCAGCAGGACGAAACCATCTCGTGCCTTCTTGAAATCGGCGTGGGTCTGTCCGGGTTTGGTCTCCACCGTGGCGCTCTTTGGTTTCCCTCGCATGTAGAGCTGAACGGCTGAGCAGCAAACCTTCACAGGAAAATGGACCTTTCTTATCCTGGAAGAGAAAAACACACATATTTGTTTTTAAAATACCTTCTTAAACTGTTGTATGGTTTTGCCAACTTTTACTCTAAACTTGATTGTCGGCAGTCGGCAACATTGATCTCCCGACAGGGTGTCTACCTCGGAGTTACGGTGTGTTTGACCCTAAATTTATCTCAGCCGGAATATCCCTTAAAATGCAAGTGCCACAAACTGCAGTCCCTAAACTGGCCACTAGGGGCTGGCTTAAAAAATCTAGTTGATCACACAGATAGTGTAAAAAAAGATCTGATGCAGAAACGTATACCAGGTTTTTTCCAAATTGAAAAAAGCTCCCTTCATTTCTCTCATTCTTCATCTATTTGTCTTGGTGTTTTTACGTCTCAGTGGCGCCCCCTGTAGCTCCACTCTCTTTCGATCAGGTCTGAAACACCTTGTTCTGTAAAAACTCCCACCTCATCATATCTGTAACCTTCAAACTGTTTCTCTCGCAGCCTCTATAAGAACGTGTCTTTTCTTATTGACAGTTTGTCGTGGATCTCTTCACACCTCATCCTGCCACGGATGAGTTCAACCGTTCGCAGTAGCGTGGAGGGTGGAGGTGTTTTGGCGTCACACATCCGATCCCTCTGCTGACAGCTGGGACCAGGAAGTGTGACTCCGCTCGCTCGACAGGGCTGCTCGCTGCACCGTCAGCTGAAGATGATCCACTGTGAAGTGGCCGCTTCCTCTGCGGCCCTCTGAGATCCTGCAGCCTCAGCCGGGCCGCAGAGACCCCGCTACCCTGCTGAAACACACGGCTGAGAGTCTGCAGAGTGCGTACAAAGATTCAGTCTACGTCACGGCCTGGCTCCCTGGGGAACCCGGCTGATATTTCTGCTTATGACAATATTCCTCAGATTGGCTCGTCTGCACTTTATTTGAACCCGACGTAAAAGCTTTAGAAAGCAGATGCAGAGCCAGCCGAGCAGCTATTTGCGGACGCCTTTGAATGCTGATAATGTGACTGATAAGCAGGGCTGGCTCGTGAATGTAAGCCAACCTGGCAACTGTCCGCCAAATTTGGCAACAACAACATCCTAATGTAACCGTCAGTGTCCTGTTCTCCAAAGTGACTGGTCCTCTTCAAAAACATGGCTGGGAATCACAGCAGAGGAAGTCTCGCTGAGAAAAAGGTGAGTTTAATTTATGCAGATTATATAATCCTTAGCTGTTATGCAATGGTGCTGGCAATCTGGTTTAGTACAGTGGAGACAGCAGGTAAGAGCATCAGACAGATAAAGTCAAATCTGAGAGATGGGGATGGAAGAGGCGCTCAGACCTCTGTGAGCTCTTCATTTCAACTTCAAGTCGTTTTACTGCCAAAGTCTCTTCAGCACAAGTTAAAGCATTTCTGCACTCATATCAATCTTTACACTATAAAGTTTTCAATACTTATCAATCAATATTTCAACATGGCTCATTGAGGATACTGTTAAATCATGCCTTCTTGTCATCTGTCTAAAGGTGCGTTTATCTCACTAGTTACAATGCACAAGTACTTGTTGATGTGTTACCCAGAAGATGGCGCTCAAAAAGGCAAAGCACGCTGGGATATGTAGTAAAGCAGACTTATGCTGTGTTCCAGTTGAACTCGGAAGTTGTACTGCCCAACATCTAACTGTGAACACGGTGCTATGGAGTTGTAAGAGTAAAATACTGTGTTATGTGTTGTTTACAAGTGGTACAACTAACAACAACTAACAACAGCTGACAAATGTTAACAACAGCTAACAACAGCTAACAGTAGGCGTCCATCTTGGTCTTTCAACTTGTTTACTGGAACGCCGTCAACTCAGACGTATTGTCATTCCCAGCTCCGACATCTGACTTCCAAGGTAACTGGAACGTAGCATAAGCTTTACTATTTACACTCTTTCCTCTCTCCTCAGCTTATTAACATACACACATATATATATATATATGGAGGAAATGACAGTCTACATGTAAATGCATGTTAAAGAGAGCTGCTTTGATTGATCAGACACTTCATTTTATAACGTCCAGCAGGGCATTTGGGCAAAAACTAAAATCCCAATTTTTTTTGGGGGGAAACTCAATTTTCCATTTCGATTTTTTATTCGATGACAACTTTACTAAACTTCACTTTGATAATAAGCTTTTCTATCATCTCTCAAAATGAAACCACTGAATACAGTGTTTATAGGTTTAACTTAACATAGTTACGCCAACTGGACAGAAAAGGACGTAAAAACGTTCTCATGTCATTTCTTATTTCAGATTCTACGTCAGTTTTTACAACTTTGTGTGGCGAGGTTTCACAGTTTCATCACAGTTAAGTGAAAGTAAATGGGTGGAAGTCTAAGTAGGCAGCACATGGGGTGCCCATGGGGGACCCATGACATGCTTTTATATCAAACCCACACAGACTTCTTATCGGGTAAACTACTCTCCTTCCTACTAGAGTGTTTTAATCATACTGTTATGTATATCCTGTTCTTCCAATTACACGTCAACACCCCGTCCTTCTCACTAGTCGTGGATTTTCCAGATTTTTTGCTGCTTCGTTCTAACATCGGCTCATCTTCATGTGAAATATCACCAGAGGGGCCCTGCAGAAAAAGTCTCAGTCAAGTCAGGGTGAAAAGTTTGTTTTGTTTTCACTCATGCTGCTCGACCAGAAAGTTATTAACGTGTGTCAGTTCAGGTAAAAGTACGAGAACCTCAAGTTTACTCATATTTTTAAACTGATAACAGAGCTTTCTCGGTTTCTCTCCCCCACTCCTCAAACTGCAGGCAGAAGTGAAGACTGGCTCCTCGCTCTGAGCTGCCCATGAATAGACCGCTCTGAATAGCATGAGTATTTTATGCCTCCTTTTCAGAAGCAAAACTGACAGTCTGAGACAGTGTGACCTCAGTAAATCCTGCAGAATACATAATCACCCTCTGTTAACACGTCTCATCCTATTATCCAAACCAGCCTCCCTTTCAAATACATATGCAATAAGGACAGAACTTGCAGGCACTCAAGCCTGCTGCGTCTGCTTGATGAAAAACAGCACGGGTTGAAGGCAGAGTCCATCACATTTGGTGTGAAATCAAAGTACACGCACTGCTCTTTCTTTTCACTTTAGCCTATTTTACATTTGAAATCTATGAGAAGATGACGAGCACGTTCAGAGAGCGAGAACTGAAGAAATTCTTTTCAGAAGAAGGAAAAATTAACCCAAAACTTGCTGCTTTTTCTGGTGAGGTCTAACAGAGATAAGATGAGCTTTCGAGCTTCCAAGTTTAACCCCTCTGTTTTCTCTCCCTGCCTTGTTTCTGAATCTGTCTCCGCTCATCATAAGTCGCCACAACAGGTGTGGCCTTGTCGTTTTTTTTCTACTTGGCCCCCTGTCGGCCTCAAACCCTGCCTTCCCCTAAACCCCCTAAAACCAGCTGTCCGGAGCTGCTGCTGTTGCAGCTGAGGCAAACCCGACACACAAACCCACTGACCTCCAAAGGGTTTTTGATTTGTGTGTGTGATAACTGATCTCATCGCGCCGGACACCACAAGAGAAACCCGACACCGGCAGAGAGAGCGAGCTGGAGAGAAGCCTCTGGCTGAGCCTGAGGACAGACGATGACAGGCTGTGAAGGCCTGCGGTGCAGAAATGTGCAACTTTCTGCTGCTGTGAGGAGAGGAGAGGGCCGGTGGCTGCAGAGACTCAGAGTCTATGAAGCAACAACTTAATATCACCAATTCAAACACTGGAGGAAACGGTATCGAATTCATGCCAGTAAATGTAAATATTTCTACACCTCTTTATCTTTCAGACTTTTCCAGGTAATCATCCAAACCTCGAGCACAAACCTGTAAGAGGCACGGCCCTGATAAAGAGCTGCCAAACCTCTGCGGGAGGACGTTGAGGTAAATGTTTGGGCGTCTGTTATTGTTGCGTCCCGTCTCTGACCAAAAATCCCAGAACCACAGCTGTTTCCTGATTTTTACCGAGAAGTTTACGATGGTTTAACGTGAGCGCGGTCAGTGTTTTGTTGATGTGCACCGACAAAATCTTCAGTCAATCCAGAGATGTTATTCAAAGCTTCATACAGGCTTTCCTCATTTTTGCAGAGCTGCAATAGAGATGTGTTTGTTCAGTGTGTTTCCTCCACATAATTCAAAGTCGTCAATCCTTTCGTTCTGCTTAAATTGCAGATTTTGAAGCTTTAATTAAAACTCGTTAATATATCAGTGTAACATGCTGTGAATGGACTCAAACTGGAGAGCAGGGACCGTTGATAAGAGCTCTGTAAAACATAACTACATTCAGTTGGCCCGGCTCTTTCAGACGAGTCTCTCTGCAGCCCTTAAGCTCACAGGTTAACACGTTTTATTGCGAGTCTTATCCCTGCGATACAGACTGTAAAAACTGCCAACTTGTGGGTTTACTGCGGGGTCTCGTGCCGGACTATTTCTTGGCTTCGAGCAGGTTCTCCGACCGGTCTGAGCCAGGAAGTATTTCAGCACAAAAGCCCCCGTAAATCTGGTTTTGCTCGGATTAAACAAAAAATACATCAAGTGTTTATTAGTGAGTCTTAAGGCTCATTTATGCTCAATGTAACATACAGATTCAGATACGGACAGAGCGTTCCGTCTGTGCTGCGTGTTCTTTTCGTCCGTATTTTTACAAGTATCCTTGAAGTTTACAGATACGGGTCAGACGGAGCAGTACCACCGGAAACCATGGGGGCGGTGTTGCTGCTGTCACAATCCGATACGTATCTCTAGAGAGAAACAAAGAAGACAATGACTGGTATTTTGAGGATCGTTGTCAATTTCTCTCAGCGGTACGACTAAAGTAAGAATTCTCCGTCCTCCAACCACGAGGCATTTAGTGGCCTGACCAACCACCACCTCCTCCAACACTGCCTCTGTTTCTGTCTCCTGTGCAAAATATACATTATAACTAGCTTCTCCACAGTCGCCATGTTTCTTTTTGTTTGTTGTCGTCAGAAACTTTGGACTCTGGCCTGCCCCCTGGTGGATGTAATGGTTGGGTAGTATGACAGTTAATACTGTGTGATGGTATAAAAGTGCCTACCGGTAGAAATTTTGTGATACTGTTTATAGCGGAGAGAGAGAGAGCAGATGTCTGCTGCATTTCTCTGAGTCAGTGTGTAGTCGTCTGCGCTCGCTAACAGGAAAGCCGGAGTGCATCCGTTTGGGTGCGTTTTTGTATATTCACCAGCGTGTCGTGCAGCGTTTGATAAGTCCGGTTTGGGAGCGCCCCCTATAATCACCAGCGTGTCCAGCAGACTGCTTGGCACAGTTTCAACGAAGAAGAAACAGCTTCACTGGTGGTGGTCATGGCGGACGCGGAGATTAGTGACAGTACCGAGCAAACGGAGGCAACCCGCGACATCGGTTGTCTGGAGATTCTTCGGATTTAGAGATTCCGACAAAGAGTGTCGTGTGGTTGTCGTTGCTGGAGGAGAAAACACCAACAACCTTTTCCAACACCTAAAGATGAAACACGCTAAGTTCTATTATGAGAGCCAAAAGATGCGTGGCGCACCCGCTGCACCAAAAACTAAAACTGTAGCAGCTCCTCTCATATGACAGAGCTTGGCAGAGTCTTTCACCAAAGGTACGCCATATGATCGAAAAATCGCCAGACTGGTCGGACATTTTGTTTGCATTTGTTTATAAATAATTATATGTAATAAAAGGAAAATGAACAAATGCGACAATATTTTTATTTTTAAACCAAAATAAAAGCATTCATTCATTCATTTTCATATGTATGGCGAGCGTAAATGAGCCATTTGCTACCTTTGGACAGAAGCTTTTTCCCCTCTCTCTTTATGCCGAGCTAACTCAAAGTCTTGTAAATGTGCCAAACTTACCCTAAAGTTAAAAAAGGGTGATAGTCGAAGCTGTGTCTCCCCTGTTTGCTCGTTTCTATCCAGCAGAGTCCAAACACTTCAACCCAAACCTTCTCGTCACCCGACCTGACCCCCACAAACAAAACCCTGCAATTTCTCGCTTCAATCTCAATCAGCGCTTCCTGCTCTCCCCGGCAACCATTGCTTTGGCAACAGCAGCATCTGCAGCCCCGAGCAGCGGGGGTAACGTGGGCAGAAGCCGGGCAGCAGGCGGGGAGTGAACCGACCCGCATGCGTTGTGTGTCACGGTGTTGATCATCACTATCCGATCTCATCCATTATAATCAGCATCAGCGTCATCAGAAACAGCGGGCCTATCGCAACCAGCTGCACCCTGCGTCTTGAGCCTCATCGGGGGGCATTCTGGGAAAAAAATGAGTCATTCGGGAAACTCAGCGGAGCAAACGCTTTTAGAGCGGTTTATATAAACAGTGCGAGTAAATAGAGGGAAAAACAACACTTGGTTCTCCAGTCATGAAGTGTGATGTACTTAAACAGAAGAGGCTTCAATCACTTCTTTCAGCGTGGAGAAGTTCAAGAGCGCTGTGTTTCTGATTAAAGCAAATCAGTTTAACGGCAGGCCTGCGAGGAAGATGAGCCAAACATCTCATCTAATCGATTATCAGTGACTGGAAACTGTTGAAAAGTATAATCGGCGTTTGTTCACCTCAGGAGGACACTGTCAGAGCTATCTGTGTGAACATCTTCAGCTGAGTGACAGAGAGAAAACATCCAAACATGTGCTGTCAGGGGTTAGAACTCCTCATTTAGAGCTCATGAGTTTCTTTCTGTGTGGCATCAAACACTACAGGGACTGTTGTGAAGAATAAAAATGTGGTTGGTAAATCCATTTGTTGCACTCTGAGGTCGATTTCCAGGCAGCACGTGTGCGCCGTTTGAATCCACAAAGAGGCCTTTTGATGCTGGTGCAGTTTCGAGGTCAGTCGCCGGCCCACAGGAGGCTCTAAGGCGCTTTAACAGAAAGTCCCCGAGTGTAAATAACCAAGAAAGAGGCGTAGACAGGACGTGTTTTTGAAATCGGCTTCTCTGGGCGTGATGAAAATGAGAAGAAAGGGAAATATCATGCGGTATTCACAGCCTTTGAGTCGCTCGTGACACTTGATGTTTCCAACCCCTCCCCTCGCTCTCACTTTTAAACCTCCACTCATATCGCCTCCTCTGCAGCCGCTCTGTGAAATTTGTTTCACCTGGAAAATTGTTTCCATTTCACGAGCATCAGCATAATGAAGCGATTCAAAGGCTCGTGGTTAGACCGAACTGTTCCGCTATCAGCTGAGAAACGATCTCCTCTGCTTCTCCTGCGAACAGTCGGCCTGACAAACAATACCAGTGAAATGTTTGCCCGCGCAGTGAAATCGTTTTTTAATGGGAAATCATCGCCCTTCTCTGCTGAGGAGGTTATGCTGTTTGTGCTGTGTGCTTTCTTGTTTGGGGGAAGGATTATGGGAAACATACTGGCCTCAAATACTGACCAGATCTGGACCCAAACAAACAAACAAGCACTGGATTATATATCCTGTACGACTGAAATACCGGCCTCAGTAAAGGTCTGTGAGTCCACAGAGCAGCAGATCACACACAGAAAATTTCTATTTCCATGATGAAAACATTTCTTTGGAACAACTATCTCTTCTTCAAGATACCACGATCTTTATGTCCGGAACTGATATTTGCACATATTGTATGATTAAAAAAAGTGTCTCTGCTTAAACTTAAACTTTAATTTTTCTTTCATGGCAGCCAAGTAGTAAACAAACCCTGAAAGATGAAGAAAGGATGTAAAAACTCTCCAAACAAACAGTTAAGAACTGTAAAAGTGTTTTTATCATCTGACGGACTTTGACAAACATTCATGAGTCCTCTTCTGATACCTCCTTTTACTGCCCTTTTTCACGGTTTTATCTTTCTGTGTATCTATTAATTTATCATCTTTTTTATCTGTTTTTATGTTCCCTGTTTTCCGCTCCTAACCTTTAAAGTCCTTGAATGCCTCGTTCTGTTTTGATCTTCCTATATGCTATGATTTATCATTTATTGCTCCGCTGTGGTTGACGATCTGTTTCATCACTTTTATTCTCTTTATTTACGTTTACTCTTCTCGCTTTTTTCCTGCAGTGTTCAGTGTTAGAATCTTCACCTTGCTTTGTCTGTCAGAGGACTTTGTAAACATTTGCTCAGAGACGATCATGATCCTTATTTTTCCACATTCAAGCCTCAAAGAGAGAATTCAGCTTGTTTGTAGTTCAAGCACATGCTGAGGAATGTGTGGCTTTAATTAGTCGATTTATCATCAACACTGATTGGACATTTGCGTGAAATGTGGAATAATTTCCCTTTAATTATGGCTGTCATCATAACTACGTGACCTTAATATTTTTATGAAAAGCATGAAGACTGTGAATCACGACAAATTAATACAAGGAAACCATGACTGACTGAAAATAGAAAAACACTGATAATAATAAATCACAGCAGAAGTGAACTGAGTGGACTTTATTGTTTCAGTTTTACTGTTTTAGTTTTGGTGAATAATGTTTTAACACATGCTAACACCAGTCAAGCTCACATGGTAGAAGATAGGAATTTTGATCAACAGGCTGCAGGGTGAAAATAAATGTAACTATGTGACTGATTAGCATTGACTGCTAGAGAACAGAGAGAAATAGGTCAGTGTTCATGTCTGGTGGGCGACAAAATATTGTTTTATATTTTTAGGACAATGAGAAAGGATTTCTGTTTGGTTTATTATTATTATTATTATTATTATTATTATTATTATTATTATTATTATTATTATTATTATTTTCTCTTTTATATCGTATTTTATTTTTTATTTTATTATTATTTTATTTTATATCTTGTTTTATTTTTTCCTTTTTTCTATCATTATTTTAGTTTGTTATTTTATTTTTTATTTTATTATTATTTTATTTTATATCTTATTTTATTTTTATTTACTTTTCATACTTTTTCTTATTTCATTATTATTTTATTATTACTTGTTATTATTATTATTTTATTTTTATTTTATTATTATGTTGATTTTATTATTATTATTTTATTTTATTGTTTTATTTTGTATTTAATTATTTTATTTCATTATTAATATTTCATTTTATTTTGTTATTTATTATATTTTATATCTTATTATATTTTATATATTATTTTATTTTTCTTATTATTATTGTTATTGTTATTGTAATTGTTATTGTTATTATCATTATTATTATTATTATTATTGTAAGACTACATTTAAAAAGGATGGCTGGGCCCATCTATCCATAGAGATGGATTACTGCTGATAGGAGATGAGAAGTCCCGCCTACTTTTGCTCTCCATAGAATAGGTTTCACTTGCACATTATAAAGCCTGCTGATATATAATTGACTGGAATAAAAAATATACAACAAAGAGAAACCAGAACATTTCTTAAACTAAATCCAGGCCACCATTGTCTACTGATTCTACAATTAGATGTTGAGTCTGCAGAAAGAGGTGAAGGAGTGTATTTGTTTAAAACTGCAGCAGCACTAATCCTGTGCCTGTGTATTAAACCAAAATCTGGAGGAGGAACAATGAAAGAGAGAGAGAGAAAAGGGCAGAGAGTTAGTAAAAGGGAACAATCTGATGGAGGAAAGTTCAGAGCAGAAGCTGTCTCCTGTTGGTCCAGCCGCCAGCACCGACCAAAAGAAGAACACATTTAGGACAGTCACTGAGGGAGGAAAGAAAAGGGGAGGTAGAGAGACAGAGGAGGCTATTCTAAGCTTCGGATGACGCCTTTCACGACCTAAAAAGTGAGTTTAGAATAGAGAGGGATGAATGCCTCCCTCACCAGACAAACAGTTTACACTAAACGAGGTCAAGAAAGTCAACAAGTCCGCAGACATCAGGAACAACTCAGTGTGTGTCTGTGGTCATTAAAAACATCACAAGACCTCTCACTCCTGCTCCCGGGTTAAAAAGAAATCACGTCTTCTTTTTTTGCACAGTTTTCCAGCAACACTGTGGAGGGAGGGGTGACCCAGAAGATTGCTATTAATGCAACACCGTCCCAGGTCTCTCCATATTCATAAGTGAAAGTGCTGATTTAGAAAAGAGGAGACGGAGGGAAGCTGGAGGAGGAAGAGACAGAGTAAACGAAAACAAACACGAAAAGTAAGGGAGAGGAGTGCAAATTAAAATTTTACTTTTCTTCCCCCAGAATAGAAGGATAAATATTTATACATAAAAAAGAAGATGACTCTTCTGCAGGGGAGTTGGAGGAAGAACTCTCAGACAGTCGGGTCTGTTCCTGTCAGGCACGAATTTTTCAGTGATAAGAAGAGGAGGAAACACCTGAAAATAAACTACCTTATATCAGGGGCGCAGCAGAGAGGTCTAAAAGTGACAAATATTTACCTAAACTTTTAGTAAAACAGCATTTCCAGAGATCATCTACAGGACTCAACAAACAAAATAAAATTAAAAAAAGGAAAAAGATAACTCTGTCTGATGACTCTGGAAGTTGCATCTAGTTTACTGAATTCAAATCAAATTAACTTTGACATGAAAGTCAGAACAAAATGACCAAAGCAGTAAACAATCTTTCACACTGATCAATATACAATTATAGAGAATGAGAATAGAACAGAATAGAATAGAACAAGTAAGCATAGAATAGATTAGATAAGATAGAACAGAATAGAACAGGATGGAATAGAATTGAATAGGGTTGGATAGGATAGAATAGAATAGAGTGGAATAGAGTGGAACAGAATAAAATTGAACAGAATAGGATAGGATAAGATAAGATAGAATAGAATAGAATAGAACAGAATAGAAAGGAATGGAGTAAAGAAGAACAGAATAGAATACAACAAAAAGGAATAGAATAGAAAAGAATAGAATAGAGTAAACCAGAGTAGAATAGAATGGAACAGAATAAAATAGAATAGAATAGGATAAAACTGAACAGAATAGAGTGGAGTAGGTATAGAGTAGGGGAATAGAGTAGAACAGAATAGATAGGATTCTATCTTATCCTAGAATAGAAAAGGATAAAATAGAATAGAACAGAACAGGATGGGAAAAGATAGGATAGGATAGAATAGAATAGAACAGAATAAAAAAGAATGAAATAGGACAGGATAGAACAGAACAGAATAGAATAGGATAGGATAAGATAGAATAGAACAAAATATAATACAGTTGAGTAGTAAATGTAGACTAGAATAGAACAGAATGGAACAGAATAGAATGGAATAGAGTAGAACAGATTATAACAAGCACAAGGCAAGCGCTAAAATAACTTTTGTTAGATGTATCCATAAATAGAATAGATAAAATAAAATAGAATAGAACAGGACAGGATAGAGTGAAAAGTTGTTTACAGTTTTCTCATCCAAGTTTCTCTCACATGATACACCAGACTTTGAAGCTTTTGGGTCAACACTGTGTTTGTATTTGAATGTCCTCATCTTCAATAACATTCAACACTGTAAACGCCAATCACTCCCCACAACAAGTCCCTCCTTCGAGCTTCCTGTTTTTAAATAAAGACATGTTAACTTCCAGGACCAAACAGGGGTCGAGCTGTTTCATGGGAACTTGAGGAAAACAGCTGGTGTAAAAACTTCTATTCTGATGAGGGTCAGTGATGAGTAATGTTATTAAATCCCCAAATTACCTTTTAAGTAAAGAATCCTTCTCAATCTTTTAAGGCCAGGGCGGATCATTCCCTAAATCCTGCCTTCAGCTCGCTCATACATCCCCAGCTGTCCCAGCAGATGGTCCCCGAGTCGACCCCCCACTCCTAACACACACAAATTCCCTCCATCTCAGTAAACATAACGACACACTCGCTCGCTCGTTCATTCATGCTGACAGCTCAGGCCCAGGTGAAAGCAGGAGAGAGAGGATGAGGAGGCTGCTACGGGATGAAGAGGAGTGAGCCGCACCATGGGAACTTGAGATGGATGTGACATGACAGGGAACCAGACAGCTTGTCTTCGCCGACCTTGCCAACAGAGCAGCTTTGAAGTCAGACTTCTACCTTGTGTGTCTGATGCCGCGTTCACTGACCCACTTTTGGACGAGACTGACTTCACCGCAGCACAACTCTCTCGACTGTAAACACTCAGTGATCCCTGCTCTCGTGTTTGTACTGCAGGGAGAAAATAGAAGCAGGGATCACAATCGCTTCATTCACTCTTTCTTTCTTTGACCATTCGCCAGGCCTCATAAACAAAAATGACGAGCGCGTGACTCTCATCTTTTCAATCTCACTTCCTGACAGAGGGAAGCACAAGAAGAGTGAGTGTGTTGTTATGCTCCTCCTCCTCCCCCCCGCTCGCACATGCTCGCACACACTTACACGGCTCACCCCTGACTTTGTCTCATGAGTAGCCTGGTTGAGGTCATGACCCCCCTCCATTCACCGCAGATGGTGGCACAAAGACGGGTAGAAAGCTGAAGCTGACTCCCCCCACGATGATCGACCCTTCTCTGGCGCACCCCGAGCAGAGACGCACAGCTGCTGCAGAGACCCAGTAACACACAAACAACCCCCGACTGAAGGACCCAAACTCGGACCAAAAGTCTGAAGCTCGCAAAATCAACAAAAGCATAAACAGGCGGACTCGTAAAAGTGGGAACACACACACCCTGATGCTGCAGGAGAGCAAAAACAAGCTAAGAGGGGATAATTTATCATGGTGCGAGCATGTTTTAGCATCTTCATAATACTGTACTAACTTTAACTTATATTCCGGTGAATTAAATTAGGGTCAAACACACTTTAACACCGAGTTAGACACCCCCTCCAGAGATAAATGTTGCTGACCGCTTGCTTCTCTAGTTATACAAACTTTAGTAACGACCACACTATAGCAATACACAGCGGTCTGAAGAGCCATAAACAAACCTCAACCAAAACGCCACTTTATAGCCACAAATAATGCTCAGAACAGCACCTAACTTCATCAACAGGACATATAGGGTCCTAGCCAGGGGGGTGCCGCAGCTCAAGGAAGAACATTTAGGATCATTTTTTTGTGAAAATGCAATCAGATCGAGACGTTACGGCAGAAGAACTACCGCGTTTGCAGTGCATAAATGTTCTTCCCTGAGCTGCGGCACCCCGCTGTAGTCTGTAATGGACTGGCCCGTGGTTTCACTGCAAACAAGCGGCTGCTGGAAGAGAGTAGGTGAGTTGTGTTTAGTCTCTTTGCTAAAGAAATAAGGCAAAGTTAAAAAGATGTTTGGTGGCTAGTACTATGGCTGGGACCCTATATGTCCTGTTGATGAAGTTAGGAGCTGTTCTGAGCATTATTTGTGGCTATAGAGTGGCGTTTTGGTTGATTGATATCTGCGGTTGATACTAAAGTTGGTATAACTAGAGAAGCAAGCAGTCGGCAACATTCATGTTTCGACGGGGTGTCTAACTCGGTGTTACGGTGTGTTTGACCCTAAATTAATTTCACGCCGGAATATCCCTTTAAAACACAAGTCATGGATTCCTGTGACTGGCTGAGCTGGATGTGGGACACAGTGTGAACTTTCTCACTCATCTGCAACAAGTAAACCATGGGTAACACCAAGTCCTCTCCGCCTTCATGCTTCTTGCTAATTTAGAATCCTAAAATGGAGTCAGTGAAAAAGTGAGCCAGCTACCAGGGAGACGTCAGCTAAATATTTAATTTGCCGCCGTTAACCGTCAAACCTTGATTTATTTTCTTTTGGTGTAGCTGGACTGAACAAGGGGAGTAAAGACTTCATTTCTTATCACTGGAGGAAAGATCTAGAAGTCTTTCTCAGGCTGTAAAAAGTAAAAATTGGATTGTAGTTAAGGGTTCGTATTTGACTGCACAAGAAGAAGTCAGTTTAGTCTGTGATGTCCTCAGAAAAGTTCAACTGATTTCAGTTTAAGGTAACCACAGCTGTTTCTAACCCACACTGATAACATACAGCATTATACACTGTGAAATATGTGGAAGAATATAGGGCTGTCAGACTTAAAGTTGCAGCTGTAAAAATATTCAGCAAGTACCAGACTAAAACTAATTATTTCAACCTTTAATGGAGGCAAAAATTACAGCAGGACTGAAGTGTAGACTGCATTAGTTTGAGCTAATGGACTTATCTGGGCAGAGATCACCACGGTGGCTGCAGCTGTTTATTATCATCATTAGACTAAAATCATCCCAATTAAATCATCCATCTTCTTGTCTGCAGAATGTAAAATAATTTGAATGTCCTGTTGCATATGAAGTTGCTTTTTTCTGTACTTTTACAGCCTCTTACAGAGCGTATTAAGTAAGGCTGTAATCAACCAAAGAAATGCCTGGTCAACTAAAACCCTGAAATTTTTGACCAAAAATTGACTCTGACGGCAAACCCTTCTGCAGCGAGGGACGACGTGGATCAGTGGTGTGAAAATATACTGATATCAGCACAAGACAGCAATTAAACACAAAAGGGAAGTTGAAACGCTCAAAATTAAAATAAATATTCAGTAAACCAGCAGAGTCCAAAATGGTGAAAACAAGGGGGGTGTTCTGAGACAGGGTGTTACCTGTGAAACAAGGGGTGCTCTGAAAACACCCCCATTAGCACTTAAGTTACTCCTTTTTGATCGACTTAGCACGTTTTCGACCAATAAGTGGACTGGTTAACTAGGACTTTACAGTCCTAATATGAAGGTAACTATAAGAAGGTGGCCATCGCCTAATTTGCATATTTGCATAATATCTCTGTCAAACCCACTGTCGCGACCAACCCCACCACCCCCGGGAAAAGGAGGAGGAGGAGTCTTCCAAGGGATGTCGAAGTGTCTGTGTTTTTCATACACACTAGCAACCCGTTGAGAAGAGTAACATCTATTTCTGCGTTTATGTTGGAGTCTCTTAACTCCAGCAAAAGTCGCTAGATTTGTCGCTAGGTGCTCTTTTGAAAATAAGTCGCTAGAGGGGTCTGAAAAGTTGCTAAATCTAGCAACAAAGTCATTAGGTTGGTACTAATTAGTAGCACACCTTCATAAAAACTGTTGTTCAGGACTGCGTGCAACAAGTTTACTCGTGCTTCCTACCTACTCAGCTGTCGTAATAACTGTTTTTCTAGTCTACACGCAAGATTTTTGTTCTCATTCATGAAAAGCTTTAATTGGGGACTGCCCCCGGGGATGTCTGGTCACCTAAAACTATAATAAATGACACTTACACAGAACCAAATCTAGACGGTGATGATGGTGATTCATTTACACTGTAGTGAGGTCGTAAAAGTTATCATTTCCATTTCACGTCATGTTTTAGAAACTTGTGCCTCATCTCCTTCAGCAGAGTTATTGTTGGGTTTGCTTCAGTGTTATTTATGTTGAAGTCACATGCTGTACGTCCATATTCTAATTCTGCATGTTTTTAATGTGATTTTAATATGATCTCGGGGGAAACAGGCCTTGAGCTAAAAGACACAAACAAACAAATGCAGATGGTTTAGTTTGTTATCATGGGACCTAACTATGTAAATGTACTCAGAGGCTGAAAGCTCCACAAACACCAGTGGACCTTATTTAAAAGACTGAACCTTCAAACTTCTTTGTAAAGTTGAAACACTAAAATAATTGAATCTGTTTTGGGGGATTTTTGGCTCCAGCAGAGAGAATTCCCTCTGCCCTGCGTTTGCATCTGTTCAGTCCTTTTCCTACGTCACTGGCTGTGGTCCGAGCAGGATTTGGAAGATTAAGACTCTGGGAGACCAATCCTAGCGGACTGGGTGCTGTCTCAGCGGGCCGTGCTTACAACAACACGCCCACACTTCTACACACACACACTCACGCCCACTGACACAACCAAAACAGTCTGCTGTGTGTGAAGACTTGTAGGTCACGCCATTCAAGAGGAGTCTGGCGGAGATGGATGTGGGCGGATGTGAATCAGACTCAAAAACAGAAATGACATATCAGGTTGGGGTGATAAATGTGATAAATGTCAGCGCGACTGATTCATTTCATGGCGCTTTATTCACAGCGGCCCATAGACGCAGACAACTATGACACTGATAAATGCCAAGAATATGATTTGCGTAATTGTTATTCTGCGTTAATAGACTCCATTTGAGCCGCGGGTCTCTTGACCGCTAACAATGATTCTGATGCTCATGTGTTTATTCATGTGAGCTGGGAGGCCGAGTGTTTTTCTTCTCCAACAATCGCCTCACCAGCTGATCGCTCTCATTAATATCCCCTCTCTGGTCAAAGTTCTGTAATGAGAGAAATCAGCTCCTGCTGTGGATGGTTCCGGAGAATTAACATGTCATCAGGAGCAAACAAACATGTATGTAATCAGTATGTAAAATATGGAGATCTGTATCTGCAGTACTGGTGTGTTACCAGAATCTTGCAAGGGTACCAAGACAGCAAAAACTAATCAAGATATGAACTTTTTTTAACAGATGGTAATAAGTGCACATTATTCAGGTAGCAAAATATGCAAAATAGAGTGTAATGCACAGTTAGTGGCATAAATTGAACTGTAAATTAAGGATAATGCACATTGTAGAAGTATGCACTGGATTCTAACTATGTATATTTCACTGTATATGATGTATATTGCACGGTAGATCATGTATATTACACAAGAGAAATGCATTTTCCAAGTACAAACATGCATTTGTAAAAACAATGCATATTGCACTGTGAATATTGTATAATGCTCGGTTCATAGGGTGCAGACTGTATATTGCGCATTAAGCGATGTGTGTCACACCCAAAGCAGAAACATGGGGACACTCAAACAATAAACAACACACTGTAAATACTCTAAACTGAACTGAGGATACATTACTGTGTGTTGTAGGATGAAAAATGTGTATTATACACTAAAAAATCATCGATAGAAGCACGCATTTTTAAAATAATGTGTATATTTCACAGTGAATTGTGTATATTATATAGTGGATGATGTATACTGTGCTTACTCCTGAAAGTGGTGTTTATTGCACCGATAAAATACACTAAATTAGTTGGAAAATATCAATAATACTCATATATAGATCAAAGTAAAGTGTTGGGTGTCTTCTGTCAATCTAAACTGTGGTGTTGAAAATGTCAGTACTGTGCTCCAGCTCATTTCATGAAACGGAGAGTGATTAAAAAGTAAAGCGACGCATTTTCATAGAATCAGATACTAATGAATGGAAAATAAAAGCCCTTTTCTTTCTTATTAAGTGAAATCTAAAAATGTGACAAACAGCAAACAGCATTACACTATTTGTCCCAGTTGCTGAAAGGTAAAAGTATAACAAACTCTAAGTCTTCTATGAACAGTAGAAATGAGAAGTGATTTAGAGGGAAGGTGCTTTTCCAAGATATGTTTGGGAACTTTTCTGAATTATGGGACTTAAAAAATGCGGCACACTTAAAACCAGGAACCAGACCTGATTTCATTTGACTTGTGAACTTGGTCTTATGTTGCTGTTTAGTATCAAACACGCACTATTGATGTTTGACGTGACGTTGTGGGACTGACCTTGTGAAGTGGTCCACCATGGATCCCACCAGCTCGCCCACTCGGTCCTGGTTGGGGCTCAGCTGCCCTTGCTGCAGACACAGCAGGACGTCGTCTTGGGCGGCCGTGTGTAGCGCCACCATCTGGTCGACCCCGCTGGTCACGCTCATGCCTGTAAACTGAGGAGGGAACAAAAACACAGTCATCAGATATCAGATGTTAAGATATTCCTTTAATCGTCCCATGGAGGGAAATTCCAAAATTACAGCAGCATAAATACAGATTCAAAAAGAGAAATTAAAGGATAAAAAAAAGATATGTACATGAGTCTTATTTACGTTATACATGTGTACAGAATATACATATGATTTATTTCACACTGAGGTTTCTGTTGTATGTTGTATGTTTGTGATTATAGAAACTGTGGACTCTTAAAACTCCAAAGCGTCTGAGGATTTCATTATTTACAGCGCAAATTATTATTATTTTAAGATCCCTAAATATGACAGAAATCTCTGCGCAAAAATGCAAGCCCGAAAACTAAAAATAGACCGCAGTACTGCATTAAAAATATCCATTTCTAGTGTAAAATACAAGTATTTTGAATGTGTTTCTTATGTCCACAGTGGATTACCATTTGAATGTCTCACTTCCATGTATTTCCGTATAACACTTGACCATCAGCCCAATGACTGTGATATTTAGTGTCACACTGAGCGCCAGAAATGCATTTGTTTAAATATGTCAGGGATTATCACGTCGACGTATAATACCTGTGAATTTAATAAAACGCAGCACAGTATATCCAGGATCAAAAGATCACGCCGTGACTGGAGTCTGTGGATTATTTCTGCTCACAGTATGTAGGGTGACAGAAACTCTGCCTGTGTCGCACGTGTGCCGCTGGAGGTGTAATGAAAGAGGAGGCGTGAGGTGTGACCCAGCTGGAGTAATGCATAGATTTACAGCAGGGGGAGATGAGTTTATAGAAAACATACCTAGGAGAGAGGAGGGATGCAAGAGAGTAGAAATACTTGAGTAAAAAGCAGATATTTAAATCCTTAAAAACACAGAGTGATGTAAATCTGTGAAGTGACCAAGAGATGTTATTAAAGGGTATAGATAGAGGGGAAAAAGAGCAAAGTTCCTCTGTGAATTAAAGTTGAGTAAAAAGTGGTAAAAGTTGAGTAATGTACTTCCCTCCTGTACTCATGTACAGTACCTGAGTGTAAGTGGTGAGAGAAAGTGAGGTGTGTGACAGATTTTAGAGGGAATGGGACACAAACGTAGACTAAGCCTCTTACAGCCCCCACGACACACAGGTTAATCCTGCAGGGACGACAACGTGCCACACCGACGAGGCCGCATTCTGGTACAACCTGTTCTTACCGGGACGGGGACGCTGCTGCAGAGGTCATCGGTCTGAGGTTCAGTCATTTAGTGTATTAAAAATGTGATTTACTGCTACATCACTTGATTTAAAGTATTATTTTAATTGAGAATAACCTCAGTGGAGGGTTTTATGAATTTTCTCATCAGTTTGTTTTCATATCAGGAGAGCTGTCTGATCTGGTTAGAGCAGTGAGCTCAGGGTCATATGATCTAATACGTACATATAAAAGATGCAGCTTATTTTCACTGTCAGTTCATCCTCAATATTTTTCAGTGTTTGGTTTTATCTGTGTGTCTCTTCTTTGCAGTTGGGGACAAAAACATTCCCAAATTCACTTAAATTTGACCCAAATTCAAAAAGTTAATCAACATAAGCTGCAGACTGTACTTTGAAACTGTGTGTTCTCAGCCTCCTCCTCCCTCTGCAGCTCGTGGATAAAGCCTTAAAGCTGTTGTTACTCTCTTACTTTAAATCTTCACGCAGACCAGCGCGTACCTTCACCTTTTACCAGAGGAACTATTTCTGAGGCGGTTGTCCGTCTTCTGCACCAATCACAGCTCTGAGTCATGTAAATGGTAAATGCTTAATGGACTCTACTTCCATCGCAGTTTCGCAGTGTTCCTGCCGCTCTTTGTGCTTTACATTACATGCTGTTTCTCCATTAACACACTCATGCAACGATGACGCACACTCGTCAGGTTCTAATCTTATCCTCGTACAGACGCACAATTACACACCTACACAGTGAAGGTGGAGAATTGAGGAGTAATAGAGGGTCTATTAGCCTCCTCAAGCTCAGTTTGACACGTGGATTGTGGGAGGAGACTCAAGTGTAAATCTAATCATTCATATGGGAGTCTATATAACACCCGCTCCTCCCTGATGTAGTTTGGTCCAAAATCTGCTTCAACCATGAAATGTTGAACTGAAGAGGCGGATTTTGGAGAGAAACAACACCATGTTCTCAAAAATATCAACTCAACAGTTGTGGTGCTAAAGGACAAACTAAATCTGACCAAATCCGGAGCTGTCAACCAAGCCTTTATTGACCTTATTTTGTTGGGTTACAAGGATCCAGATCAAACTGGCTAAAGCATGGACGGTTTCATAAACTGACTCTAAAAGTCAGAAATAAGCCTTAAAACCAGCTTCTTCAACACACAGCTCTTTGTGCCGGGATACAATCCTGGTCTGTCCCTCACATGCTCATCTCAGGCATCCTGGTTTGTTTATTTGAGGAGATGATTTCCGGGTTTATAGCTGCTGCTCAAGCTGGGGCACGATTCCTTATGTAAAAACATCTAACAAACGAACAAACAGCAATTTCTACGACGATGAAAATCATGTTTTTCTTGTTGTCTTTCTTTTTCAAATAGCATTTTTCTGACGCTACAGGACATATCACAAGAAAAATAAGTGCAAAATTGCATTTCTGAGTATTTCTGCTTTCAAATTGCTGTGAATCTCTGGCAGACTCAAACGGCAAGCTCACAAACAGTGAGATTTCCTATGTCACAAATCCAAGCTCCGCCCCCGCAGCCCCGCATTGCAGGCCAGACTCGGAGAAGTAGAGAGGACGATCACAGAACAAGTGTGTGTGTTAGCAGATTGCAATGCTCGTAAGAAAGATAATTTTGATATTAACTTTCATTATGGGTAGTGCTGTCTCCGCCCACGACTCAGAGGTGAATTGATAATGAGCTACCGGAGTTCTGCTGAAGAAAAGCACTTAAAAATGACAGGTAACGTGATTTTGCCAAAAACTTCATAATCGCAATTTAAAGACCACTGAGAACTTTAAAAGTAGTAAAAAAATAAACAATCGTAGTAGGACTTTACTGGTTTTTACTAAAGAGGGAAATAATGGCTCAAGACTGGACATTAAAATGCTGTCAGTGGACACAGGCCCTTTGAAACACAACTAACTACAGTGTACGGTGTGAGTGGGAAATACAATAATCTGCACAATATGAACCAATTATCAAAACATCACTGATTAGTATTACTTCAAGTTGACACGTGAAAAAAGCTGTTTTGTCAAGTCATCCAGTTCTCTTGTTTTGAGTGACATGATTTAAGGACGATTGAAATGTTGAACAGGAGAAGTGGAAAACCCGCCCCGGTTCTTCTCTCCTCTGTTGTTTGGTGATCCTGTTTCCATCAGTTTTTAACCTGTGTGATATTTCAGAGGTCAGCGCTGACAGTTAGATTGATGACTGTTGATCTGGTGACACACTGAGAGAGAAAAGCAGCGTTCCTCCACAGCGCTTTATTCTCCGTTTCTGACCTGGATAAGACTCATTCCCCTCAGTGTGAGCAGCAGAGCTTAATGGCATCAGCTATCTTTAGCCGCTGCGCTGCTGCATAATGATGGTTTTTAACCCTCTGGCATGTTTCTGCTCTCTCCCTCTCCCTCTCTCTTGACTCTCTCTTTCTCTCTTTAAAACCTCTGCCGGACATCAAGCTGTGCTTACTCACTCTCTGTTAAGTAGGTGTTGTCCGTCCTCATATATCCAAGGTAATCGTAAAAACACTGAGAGACAAAGTGTACCAACTCAACATCTGGGTACTGTTTCAGCTTAAAACACCAAAACTACATCGAAATGTCTCCTGGTACAAGAATATGACAATAAATACAAGAAATAATGTAGTTTGACGAAGTTGTGATGACTTTTCTGGTGAAGTGAAATTATCCTCCAGAGTGATGGTTTGTAAACTAAGAGTTCAAGGTGGCACCTTTTTTTTTCTCAAACTTTATTTAGTAGGGATGCAACATATCAAAATCTCACGGTACGTATTGTCATGGTATTAAAGGGATATTCTGGCGTAGAATTAATTTAGGGTCAAACACACAGTAACACGGAGTTAGACACTCCCTCCAAAGATGAATGTTGGCGACTGCTTGTTTCTCTAGTTGTACCAACTTCAGCAACGACCGCATGATAGCAACACACAGCGGTCCACCACTCCTCCAGCAGCTGCTTGTTTGTGGTGGGAGCCCTGACGAGTCGATCACTGAGTGCAGCGGAGTTTCGCAGCTCAAGGAAGAACATTTATGACCATTTCTTCATGGAATTGCAATCAGACCAAGACGCTAAGGCAGAAGAACTACTGCGTCTGCAGTGCAAAATGATTAATACTTCAAGGAAAAGATCTGCTGCACTCTGTGATCGACTCGTCAGGGCTCCCCCCCACAAACAAGCAGCTGCTGGAGAAGAGTTGGTGAGTAAACTTAATTTTTCGCCGGAATGTCCCTTTAAGGCCACGGTACGGTATCATTGTGGTATTTGCTTCTTCCGCTCTAAATATAAAATGCCTTGCTCTCTTCTTGGTTTGGCCTCACAAATCTTCTCCAAGTCACGGTGCATCGAGTGGCTTCTCCTATTACTTGTGCTCCCTAAATTGCGGTCTGGGACAGTTCATATATCCGTCGTCTTTTCTTCTCGTTCATTTTTGTTTATCACAAAACCAAAATGCCTTCATACTTCTTATTTAAACTTAGCGGGAGGTTCCATCTATTCCTGCACTGAGCAGGGGATCAAGGGAGATGTAAAACCGAAATACCGCAATATTTACAATACTGTTACATCCCTAATAATTCGTCAACAATGCATGGGAATGAAAACAGAAAGAGAAGTCCTAATAATTATTGCAAATCTTGTGGCTGATTTTCTTGTTTGCTTTTGGAAATCATGACATCAGTATGAATTTCAGTAGGGTGACCGTACATCCTCTTTTACCCCGACATGTCCTCTTTTTGGGGGGATGTCTGGCCAGTCTGGGGAAGTTTATAAAATCCTTCAAATGTCCGGGGTTTTGTATGGAAGTGTTGAGTTTGTGTCACATGGACTAACTGAGTTAGAAGCGCATAAAAAAACACTCGACCGACCCAAAAAACTCTCAAAATTTACTACGAGCAACTCTGTGACTCTGCCCTGAGTAGTCGTGTCCTCCTCTTGGGGATTCAGAATATGGTCGCCCTAATTTCAGTCTAAAAAAAACTCTGTATGGAAGCTTTAATGTTAATTTGGCAATTAAGGTGAAGAGAAAATATTATAAAAGTGCTACTTATTGTGAAATATGAGGGACTGTTTTTTTAAACTGTATAAATAAATGATTTTATAATCATCTTTTAATCTACACTTAGTGTCAATTTGTTAATTTCTTCAGTTTGCAGCCAGGTCATCTGCACACTGAGATGATGGGTTTGTACACTATTCAACAGACTGAGGTGTTCAGACTCCAAGAGTTACTGCTTCTGTGATGTGCCACACGAGGCTCTGCAAATAGTCCATTAACTAAATTATTCCAAAATGCTCCGACTCTTCATGTTCAGCGGCTGTAAAACTCTGTAATCGATGCCCCGCTCCCCTTCCTGACATCCTGTGTCAAACACATCAAACTATTTCAGATGAACTCGGAGCATCAGATTAAACGGAGCTGTCACCATCTGTCTGCACATCAACCCTAACACCTGACAAACACAGACTGACTGACCTGACACTCTCACAGGTCCCGACAAAACAGGTCATGAGCTCCCGGAGTCACAAGTAGACGCTGTTCTCTCCCCCTGAGTCCTCTTACTGCTTTTGTACTCTTTATTATTGATGGACGGCTGTGACCTGGGTCAAAAATGATGGAGTTCTGCGTGTATGAGCGGGAGTGTGAGTAAATAAATGACAGCTGGGACAGAGTACCGGGTCTGACCCACATTCTCAGTAGTTATTAGGAAGTGGAGCTGCGGTTTGGTGTGTGTTTGGTGTGTCAGCGCCCTTTTTTGGTTGAGATTGAGGTTCATTATGTAACAGATTATCTGAGGGCTGAGACTTAAATCTAAGGTCAAAGAGATACTCCACCTGTTTCATAAATCAGAGGCGGTTTACTGATCATCCTGTACAGAAAAGTATCTGATCATTTCTTTTTGTTTTTGTTTTTGTTTTTTTTCCTGTGTCAAATTTACTTCTTTCATTTCAGATCCAAAGACTCTCTCCAGTCCTAACCCAATCCTGTCACTCCTACTCCCCCACCTTCTCACTCATCAGACCTGTGATTTATGTTCCGGCCCATTTCTACTCTCACCCCTGCCCGCTTTTTTATGCTCTTTACCCGTTTTGTTCTTGCCAGTCTGACCCACTTTCGTTTTTTTTGGATTGTTTTGATCCAGCAGCCCGATGACCTCGTTCTTTATGGAGGTATCCTGCGCTGCCTTTACACAGCATGGTGTTAATAAAAAAAGCTTTTACCAGAGGCATGCAGCACTTTCGACCTTGGACTATTAAGAGGTTTTTTTTTTTCACAAGTCCACTGCAGCAAAACCAGGTATTCTGGACCAATCTGAGCTTAAAACACGAGAGAACAACACACGTGCAGCTCTAATCCTCACGCCAAGACAAGTAACTTTCTTGTTGTGTTAAGATGAAGCAGGTCCAAGTATCGACTTCACCTATTAAGCTGCTGAACCTGGGAAAGTAGGAGCAGGGGTTATTTGGCCACCTGAAACTTTCATGTTGACATCAAATTCAGATGAATTCATGAGTTCATTTATAGTTCTTTGAAAGTTTTTCGGTCTAGTTCAAAAGTCAAAGGACCAGAAACCAAAGACTGTATACACTGTGGTCAACTTGGTTCCACCTTCTGACAGTATATAGATTTGAAGCCGAGTTGCTCTTGGTATTTCCGCGTTTTTCTCCACTTCCTCAAACCAACATTGCACAGTGGCGTTGTGCGTATTCAGCGGGAGAGTCGTCGAGTCACTGTGATGACGCAGGGCTCGATAGTGCGACCGTTTCACTCGCATTTGTGACCAAAAATAGATGAGTGCGAATTGTGAAACGTATTCACGGGGCACATGTGCGCATAAAAAAATCAGACGAGGCAACAAATGTTTTTTCATGTAAATACCGCTGTGAAGTTAGTTTTAGGTTGGATATCCATGCACATTCATTGCGGATCTACCGGTGTCCTCACTCTCCATAACTGGGAATAGCAACAGCAGTGCGTTTAAATCTACTCGGCACCCTCACTGTCAACGTCGGGTGTTGAATAAGAGACCATTAATAAATTGCCGGTTGATGTTCTCAGAAAAGGCTGTTTTTCCTCAATAGCTTCCATGTCATGTGACCAGTTGACCTGAAATTGATTTCGAATCATAGTACTAAGGTCGGACAATCAGACACACATTATTTGATCAATTTTCATTGTGCCCCTCAAGTTCTTTGTTTGCTCCTTACTTTTTCAACTTAGGATCACATGTGCTCCGCTTGAAGCAAGTTAAGTGTCAAGCCCTGTGACGCTCGACTCAAACAGCGTATCCCCCGGGTGAGCTACGCGATCTTCATCTACCCACATGCTGTATCAAGTGTCAATCATTGAAAACATGAACCCCCAAATAACTTTTAAAAAAGGAGCTGCACAGAAAAAAGAGAACTTGAGTTATTGCAACCAGTCTTGCAATAACTACATGTCAACATCACAAAAAAATTTACATTCTGTCTAATAAGTTTCTAAAGTTTGTCCACAGCTCCGTAGGGATTGCTGGAGGAGGCAGGATTTATGACCTATACTGCAGCCCGTCACCAGAGGGTGCTGTTCTTTGAGTGGCTTCATCCAGCAAGGAGGCAGACGGCGTCCATTCTATATAGAGTCTATGGCAGAAACAAAGATGTAGTTTGTTTTCCAGAAAGGAAAAATGACTAGGGAAAGGCAGACCTGGACTAAGGAACACAAATAAGGTCACCCAGGCCTTGTTTTTTGTTCTGATGTCTGTTTCTACGACACGAACACACGCAACAAGACTTTATCGTTCAGTGTTGAGTCACTCTATGGTTTGGGTTGCTTATAGTCTGAACGGGCTTGAGTCCGTGTGTCTCTGCAGCTTTAAGGTTCAGGTTGGAGTGTGGTGGCTCGTCTGTGCATGAATGCACTCTCCCATGTGAGTACTTACCGCGTCCAAAGGAAGCCTCTTCAAAACCTTGTTCTGTTTCTTTGGCTCTAATTTGTAGACGTACTTGTCTGTGACGAGCAGGCCTCGGTCTGTGCTTTTGTTGAATCTATTCACCTGAGAGAGCAGACGAGAGAAGGAAAGAGAGAGAGAGAGTGAGAGAGTGAGCGGATGAAGCTCCTCATTTTCTATTTTCTGTTAAGAACCTTTTAGACAAGTCTAGGATCTCTCTTTCTGTTTTCTGCTACTTTGGATTCAAAACAGGTTTTCCTTGCGGAGTTGCAAACTTAAAAAAACACAAAACAAAAAAGATAACAGCAGAAAAGACGATAAAAGCTCTGGTGGGTTTGTCAGAGTTAGAGGTGGTTTCATTTCACTTTATCAAAGCCCACATATCTTCAGATATACTTTGGCTTAAGCGGCACACAGAGTTTAGAGGAATCCCTCGCCCTGAAAAACCCGATAAGGAAAATATGGCCACTTTTATCCACAGGGAGAAGATAAGAGCAAGTTCAGTAGGAGGTAAAATAATAATTCAGCTGAGGCTTTTCATTTCATTCAGAACAGGCGGACTTTATTTAACAGGAGAAAATCCTAAAGGTTAAGAAAATCCCAGTTTATTTCTTTCATGATGAATCCTCTGATATTTTCGTCTTTATATTTCTGTCTGAGAGGGCCGTGTTCACCGCTGGAACATGAAAACATGAAAGAGGAGCTGATACAAAAGACAGAAAGTGCGCGGGGGCGTAACGGGGAACACAGCAAGAGAGAGAAAAACATCCCAGAGCTAAAAAGCAGAAAAAGAGAAACTCCTCGTTCAAAAACAGACATTTCTGATCAGCGTGTTCCTTTTCCCACATACTGTACCGGACTGTACCTTTCTACAGAAGCCCGAGAAGAGGACTTGAGAGTACTCGTCTTTGTTCCTCAGCTCCTTGGAAACGCGGACGAAGCCGGAGCTGGTCTGAGGACAGTCTCGCACCTGCAGAAATGAAGGAGACGTTTCAGAGCCAGACGCCACCGTGCAGACTTATTTGTAACAGTAATAATGGAGGGTACATCAGAGTTAGTGGTGAGACTCTGGGTGACCTCTTGCAGCCTCTTTCAAACCTTTTTACTGCATTAATATTTTAAAGAGCAGATCAAAGCTCAGGGCCTCAGGGTGCTGTTAGCAGACACGGTGTTTAGCATACTGTGTCAGAAGAACAAGGAGAGTGGCTGATAGTGGTTTAGAAACACAGTGGGGACCTCAGAAAGAAACTAAAAACCACATCATGGTCCACCTTACATTAATGTCACCAACTTCTCTCCAGAACATTGGAGTTAATAGTTATGAAAGGGTTTTAATGCATGGATATGTGGGGATCTTTGGCCAATCTGGGTGACCAGAGTGAAGAGTTTGAATTTCCATATTTTTCCATACCCTACTTTATTTTTGGAAATACCTACTTTTCTATTTTTAGAAAACAGTCCTTTAGAACTGTGGTAATAATCTGGAAACAGATATTTTTCTATACTTTTTAAAGACCTGCAAATTGATCAAATTACTTCCATATTTCTCCATACTTTGCATACTTGCGTAGGAACCCTGATATTTTATTGATTTTTAAATTTATTGCACTAAAAGCGAAATAAAAGTTGATTAGATGTTTAATAAAAGCCTCTGCTCTCCCAATATGTGATTCACACTGAGTAAATTTGATGTTTGTACTTGAAGAATGTAAATTCAACATGATGATACATAAAAAGCATAATAACTTATGGAGTTGAAATCTGATTCTGAATATTACAAAAGAGGATAAGGGCCACATGTAGAGAAAAAAAATTATTTGCAATCAAAATTTTGAGATTAAAAAAATCAAAATTATGTCAATTAAATTGGAATTTCGGGATTAAAAATTGAAATTTTGAGATTAAAGTCCAAATTTCAAGATTACAAAATGTCGAAATGTGGTGAATAATGTCGACATTAAGATTAAAAAAATAAAATATTTAGAGATTAAGGTTTAAATTTTGAGATTAAAGTGGACATGAATAAAGCTGAAATTTTGAGATTAAAAAATTAAATATTTAGAGATTTAAATTGAATTTTTAATCTTGAAATTTCAACTTTAATCTCGAAATGGAAATTTAAAAAAAATCTCCCTCCTGTGATTATTTTTTTTCTCTCCTTGTGGCCCTCATCCTCTTCAGTAGAATATTGATAACAGAGAGCATTTCTGAATATTTTTCTCTCTTTCAGTGTCTTCTCACAAGGACCAGCGTCATCCCTGCTTTGTTTCTGAGAATATCACACATTGATAAAAACTTGTTGACCCTTTTATTCCTGTTTTCTGAGAAAACATGACTCATATAAATCTGTCTCATTTTCCTGTTTCTCCTTCTTTCTGTACTCGGACACATCAGACACATGCAAGTCACGATTCAGGCTAACTGAGCGCGCTAAAGCACAGGTCTCTTTAGGGATTTAACGACAATCACGTGAAGCCGGAGCCCTGAGGAGAGCAGAGAGTCACGGGCCGTCTGACAGCCTAACGAGGGGAGTGACTCAGGACTTGAAGGCGGTCATGCTCACACTCCCCGAAGGCTTTTTTCAAACCTCGGGGTGCAAAACACCCTTTAGATTAGCTGCTAAATGAGCCGACTGTGGGATTCATTAAAGGAGGGCTGTGTTCACGAGCACCATCCTCCTTTAGTCATGCTGTTTACGGTGAGGGCCCGTCACATGCAACTGCATACATCCACAACAACAGATGATTCCTGTGAGCTCAGCTGGTTATTCCTGTCTTGTTTACTGTGATAGATTCAAAGGAAAACTTCAGCCAATGAGGTCAATGGATTTCCACAGTAACCGTTGAAGAAGAAAAGAGGCATTTTTCTGTGAAGGGTGAAGTAAAAGAACTGATTATAGTGCATGAGATCTTCCTGTGGTGAGGGCGAGGAATAAAAATAACCCCAGTGACACAAAAAGAGGAAAAAAAGAACAAAAAACAATCAAAAGAAATCAAACCAGATTGAAATAGAGGAAAAAAATTAAGATGTAGGTGTCAGATATATATTTAATTCCTGACTGGCTGAGATTTCAGCTGGTTTTAATTCAACGGGGATTGAGTTCACTCTTTCATTTCATCAATAAGATACCTTAAGGGTAGCTTTGCATGATGAGCAGTTCCAAACACTCCTAATCTATCTTAAAATTTAATGGAAAAAAGTGGTAAAAAGCTGGGGAGTTCAAAGAGAAAACTGATACCACCCGAGATAGACGATAGACGATAGACGAAGAGAAAACTAGTACGACTAATACCATCAGACATAGATGATGAGAAAACTAATTACAATCTGGCGAGCCCCGGGTCTGAAAGTTTGGTTTAAACGATGTTCAGGGCAAACATGGAACAGACTCCTTTTCCAGTATTTTGAAGTTAGACTCAGCTTGTGAGTGTCACTTTTTACACAGCTTTGTCTTCACGTGACGAACTGAAAGTTAAATCTTTACAGAAAACATATGAAGCGAGCTGCGGGTGACGACTAAGCTCCATATGTAACCCTGTTGGCACATGTGCTATTGCTATTTCTGCATTATTTGAGCCTCTCATATCGACACCCTCTCCCTCCAGTCCTCTCTCCCCTCCCCCTTCCCACCCATTGACGGACCTGCACTACATCACTTTACCAAGGTGCTGCTTTCAGATGGAAAATTAGTGCAACAGGGCTAACTTCAGCCTTTACTTAACTTGTTTACATTTTACTCTTGTGTTTTTTATTGCTCTTACATTTTTATGATTGCTCTTGTATTGTATGAAATTGGCTTGGAAACGGACCTGGGTGCTAATTTTGTACCACAAAAGTTCCTTGAATCCATAGAGGGTCTTTGAAGACTAAACAGCCCCAGGTTTTAGCAACAATTGAGACCTAAATCCAGCTGATACTGGTTGTTGTTTATGAAGTTGTCAGTAAAGTGATGAGCACAAACAGTTGTCGCTGTCCTTTAAATCTAACTTTCTACTCTCCTTCTGTACCTTTGTCCTTGAGAAGATTAAATAGCTGTGACTGTCCAGTGGAAATAACACTTTTCTGACACAAAGCTACTGAATAATACTGAAATAGAGGGGTGACAAAAGCAGAGTGGTGGATGATACTTTCATATAAAGTGGTAATTTTAGCGAGTTATCCTTCAACATTATCCTGATAGGACGGCAGAACCTAACATCAGGGTCAGAACAAGTCTAGCTGTTCAGGGAAATTACACTGTATTGTCACAGTTAAATAAAGAAGTCAGCTGATTTTGGAGAAACATTGTACATATATGTTGTTTGGGAAAATGCCAAAGCTCCTCTGATTTCCATTTTTCAAACACAACTCAAAGTTCCTGTAGGTTTCTGTTTTTCCTCCTCTTTTACCTAATACCTGTGTTTATAACATGTCCGCTCTGAATCTAAAATAAACTCAAATAAATGTTTTCATCCTTGAACTTGGCAGAGGGTCAAATTCAGATACACACATCCCTCAGTGGGTGTTAGATTCAGTGTGTGTGTTAGTGGACAGGCACATAACTACAATTATACTAGTATGATGCCTGCAGAAGCATCTCACATTGTGAAGTTAGTTTCTCAATTATGTAAACCTTTTTAGTCCTTATCTCATGTTTTAGATGGTGCTGAGGAGGAAACCAGCCAATAGGAACTCAGCTCAGACTAGGACAGATATCTGAACTTGGACCTGGATTCAGTTTAATGTTAACTGTGACTAATTGAGCAGACTTAAACAGAACCCAAGTGTCCCCAGTCTCCACATCTGTGATTCTTACATTAGCGAGGTAGTCCCTCTCCCAGGCCCGGCTGACTCCCCAGTCTTTCCTCTCCCCGCTCAGAGCAGTCAGAGCTGCCACTTTGGCACGAACCTCCAGCATGTCAGACGGAGGGATGTTCTTCACGATCTGCCTCGCCCACCACCTGACAACAAGGGATGAGGACAAGACAGCGCGTCAGGCGGGTGGAGCGATACATCAAAGGTGGAGAGGAAAACAATGCAGTAGGAGGAAAAAGCTTCAAGTCTATGAGGGATTGAAAAAAAAAGGTTTTATCTGAAGTGCCAAAACACGTTCTTGACGATCAAAAAACTACGTCACTCACCCGGAGTAACTTATTCAAATGATTCTGGAGCTGTTTTTGATGCAAATCAGCAGGATTTAAAAAAATATGAGAAATAGTTCGCTCTAATGCTCGTGTGTGAATAAAGTCCAGGCAGAGAACAATCACAAATGTTAAATTGGCGTCCACTTTTCCTTCTAACTAAACACATGTAAACACACACCAACCAGGGGTTAGACACCCCCCCTCAGAGATGAATGTTGCCGACCGTTTGCTTCTCTAGTTAAACCAACTTTAGTAACGACCGCATGATAACAATACAGGAGCCATAAACAAACCTCAACCAAAACACCACTCTATAGCCACAAATAATGCTCAGAACAGCACCTAACTTAATCAACAGTACATGTAGGGTCCCAGCCAGGGGGGTGCCGCAGCTCAAGGAAGAACATTTATGATCATTTCTTCATGGAAATGCAATCAGACCGAGACGCTAAGGCAGAAGAACTACCGCGTCTGCAGTGCAAAATGATTAATATGATGATTATTACTTTAAGATAATGACAAAGTAATGATCGTAAAATGTAAATGTTCTTCCTTGAGCTGCGGCACCCCCCTGGCCTGGACCCTATACGTACTGTTGATGAAGTTAGGTGCTGTTCTGAGCATTATTTGTGGCTATAGAGTGGCGTCTTGGTTGAGGTTTGTTTATGGCTCCTCAGACTGCTGTGTATTGCTATCCTGTGGTCGTTACTAAAGTTAGTATAACTAGAGAAGCAAGCGGTCGGCAACATTCATCTCTCGAGGGGGTGTCTAACTCTGTGTTACGGTGTGTTTGACCCTAAATTAATTTTACACCAGAATATCCCTTTAAACAGAACTTGAATTTCCATTCAAACAACTAAGAAATTAGCCTCCTAAGAACATTCAAATACAAAGTTATATTTTTCCTCAGTACTCAGGTTCCATTACTTTCCTAAACTAGTGTTTTTATCTCATTGGGCTGTCATTAATTGATTGTTTTAATATATTATTTGGTTGTTTTGTTTATGTTGTGATTATTATTATATTTATTATTAACTGAAAGCAGGTAAAATAAATCATTGATGATTCCTGCAAGGTGAAGGGGTGGGAGCAGACAAGTTTCCACTTCCTCCAACTCTATTTTGAACATCAAAATGACCAAATTTATTTGACTCTCTGGTTTTGTTTTCTTTCTGGGTTTTTTTTCGTGTTTATGTCTTTAATTTGTTTAATTGTACATGTTCAAATAAATTCTATAAATAATAAAAAAAAAGTTTGTTCACTTCATAAAATGGCGAAAGACTTCTTGTAAAGATAGATTTTTTGAGTCTGTAGTTTGTTTGGTGTCTGAGTTTCATTTTGAAGGGACTGACCTGCGATGCAGCATGACTGTGATGTTGTGAAACTTGGACAGAGCTGCAGGTGGGGTCGGCCACTCCACGCTCTTCCCATAGTCGGCCATGTTTCGCACATTAGCGAACCTCCGCTCCACCTCCCAGAAGTGGGCTTTCACCTTGTAGCGCTTGTAGCAGCCCATGATGGCGTAGATAGCCCTCATCCTTCTGCACCTCATGCGAGCTAAAGCCCCACGCCACACCTGTGGGAGAGAGTGACGCGTTAAAGAGGAAGTAAGAGAGAGAAAGAGAGAGAGAGAGAGCTGCAGACAAACTTGTGCTCCAGTTCTAGACTCCGACTTCTCTGCAGAGTCATCAAAGTAGGTCAGGAGAAAGAGGAAGAAGAGGGTGTTTCATCGAGTTAGAGAGGTAATTGACTTTAATGTGACTGTGCTCTGGATCTCATTAATTATCCCAATTATTGTTACAGGAAATTAGGATTCAAGCTGGCAGATGAATTTCACTCAAACATAACCAGGAGCCACATATTCATGAGGCTGAGGCAAACTGCAATCTCCACTTTGAAACCTAGAGGCCCCGACTCTGTAACTGAAGGAGATAACATTGTTCCTGATTAACTGTGATCACATGATCCGAGCGACCCGTGACATTAAATTAGGTCTGTGTGTCGATTAATCACGCTGACAGATCAATACATCCTTATCAAAATCCAAGCGTGGCTTCAGAAAACAGCCTTTGAGACCTGACATTTAAGATTTTAAACCCACGCTGAGGCTGTGGGTGAATACTAAAAGCAGTGTGATGATAAAAATTACTGTCACACACACACACACACATCTGGATGTGTCTGACCTTCTGCAGGAAAAGCACCAGGATGGGGATGAGAGCGGCTCTCTCCTGCTCCAGACTGTAGAGAGAGCGCGGCGTTCGAACAAACAGCTTGGTGTGTCCGTACGCCACGTCGTCTTGGAAACCGTGCTGGTTGACGATGGCCTCCACGGCCTCTCTGTCAGTGGCCATCAGGTGGTTCGGCCAGGTGTACTCGCAGGTCATTTTGTACCTGCAGACAAACAGGAGAAGGAGTAAGAAATCAGGGAGAACAAGAAGAAGGATCTCTGTGGAAGAACGACCAAATTTATGTCGAATATGTTTCCTTACTCGTGAACAACATCAGGTTTTCTGGTTTTTAAATGAGTTTTAAGTTTCCTGTAAACATCATGTTAGAGAGAAAACAGGATACTGTGGCGTACATTTGCTTTACCCTGGTTTCTTACAGCTGCTGACCACCTGAGCAGGCGACTGATGAATCGGTAAGACAAACATGACCACAGCAATGAGAGCGCCTTTCTACTGGAGTGACAGAAGAAATGGAGTTTGTCTTTCGGTAATGAAAGAATTAAATATAAATGGAGGTTCAGATGGAAAAAACCGTCAAGTCTGTGAGCTGTTCAAGTCTGAACAGTCTACAGCAGTGGTTCTCAACTGGTCTCACTCTGGGACCCACATTTTCCCATGGTCCTTAAGTCGTGACCCACTTTTATAGAATTCAAACAAAGCAAATTTATTTTTTATTAAAAAAAAAAACCTTTAAAGACTGCATTTCAGTGCATTTCAGAGCAAATGAAGTGAGGATGACAACTACTGAAGTTGCACGTACAGAAAGTATCAAATATTAAATAAATATCAGATTGCACAAAATACGCTATTTTTCAAAATAAAAGATATGTCAAACATCAGATGTGCATTAAATATTTACTTTTTTGACCAGCTGTTTGCAACCCCCTTTTGGGTTGGGACCCACCAGTTGAGAACCACTGGTCTACAGGATGCAGGTGGAGCGAGTCAGGTCAGATCGAGAAGTATTGAAGAAAACATCAGAACAAAAACAGAAGCTCAGATCCAGATCTTAGACTAGATCAGACCTGGGCATTTTACGGCCCAGGGTTATATTTCCGTTTGGACGCATGTGCATACATCCTAGATCTGCATTCGTGAACAGAGACAAGTTAAAACATCGGTAAAATATTCGTAGACGCCTTATAGTTGCCAAGTCCGCTTATTCTAAAAGACTTTAAGCTTGTTTCTCTCAAAAGTCGCTTGTAAAACTTGTGAGTTTTTAACCAGTCGTTGCTTATTTGGGTTTGCTTTCCTGTATGTGTGAACCCCCCGATTTGAAGTTGAAGTTATTGTTGGTTCGGCCATCCAACACAGTTCAGGTTTCTCTATAGTTGCTAGTATTTAAAAGGGATAGTTCAGCTGTTTTTAAATGAACTTTTTTCGTCTCGATTCAAAAGGAGAAAAAAAACGACAACATGTTTAAAGCTCTTAAAAATGTGTTTTTGAATCAAGCTTTGAATCACCTTGACATGGATGACTGAGAATCTTCACAGACGCTTTTCTGCCAGAGGAAACTGTTTGTTTTTCTTGGTCTGGTGAAGTTTTGACAATTTTTTTTTGGTATAAATTCTAAGAAAACTGGCAAAAAAAAAAAATAAAAAGTGTCACTCTTGCTATGAACAGATTTCTCTGCTGGATACGGTTCATTCTGTGAGGCAAGAGGGTTATGCCTCAATGAGCTCCCGCCTCAGTCTACACCCTTTTGGTTGCCATGGAAACTTAGAAATCTCAGTTTGTCATCTATTTTTTTAATGTATTCAGTTTTTTTTACGTCTTTATTCAGGGTATAGAGCAGGAAACTGGGGGAATAGAAGGAGAATGCCACGTCCCAGGGGGCAATGAACCAGAATGGAACCTGGGCTGCCTGCTCGAGCCTCTGTACATGGCGTGTGGGATTTGACCATGGTGAAAAACGGTCATCCAAGCCAAGTGCATCCTACATGATGAACTGGATGCATGCGGATGAACAATACGGTGACCATGGAGGGGCTCGCACTGACTCACCTGATTGGAAATTTTTTTTTTCTCTGAGGCCAGAATTTGATCGTCATTTACAGTCGCCAGATGGCTGTGAGCTCAAAAGACTCAAACACAAAGCTACGATCAATGGTGCTGGTCTTGGTCACAGGACTCGAGCATCATGGGGAACGGACATATGACTCATACCGGCCTAGAGTGCAGGATGAGTCATGAGCAGATTTGATGTTTTCCAGGTAATCTTTCTTGGTGTGCTGTAATGTGAGAATCTATTCTGATACCAGAGTGAACCTTGAGGGTGTCGTGTTTAACAGGCAGGAGGGTTTTTACTGAGGTGAATTACAGGGAGCTTCGTTTCTAGATGTTCTGGACTGTGAGTTTTTTAAGAGACACTGTAGAGAGAGACTACGGAGTACCCTACACCGTCCTTGAAACAACTTCTGTCCTGATAGAAGTCAGTAAAAAAACTGATCTAGGATGTTTTTGTCTATTTTTGCCAAAGTTTCAACGAATCAGATGCAACACTGCTGAAAACTGTGAAAACAAACTGGTTCGAACACTGATAACATGAACTTTTAAGTAATGTTAGGTCAAAGGTCATCATAGAAGCAGTACCTGGGATAATCAGGTACTTTTTACCTCGCAGGCGTTAGACTGAACTCCTGCAGCAGAACAAAAAAACTCTGAGTCTGAAATAGTGAAGATGTCTTGCTTCATGTAGTACATCATGTTCTCTTACCGCTGCAGGAAGCGATCGTACGGCTGCCTGTAGGCGAAGCCCGCCCTGCGCACCATCACGTTCTCCATCAGGCCCAGGTAGGCCACCTGGTGCTGGCAGCGAGCGTCGTCAAACAACACGGGAGACTTCATCTCGTTGGGCTTTATGCAGCGCACGTAATACGGCTCCTGAAAGACAGAAGGAAGAGGGGGACTCTTCAAGCTGACTGTAATGCAGAGTGAAAAAATATCAGAAAGAAAAGCAAATGTATGTTTTTATTGAGCATAATCAACGTCTCTGGACTTCTCAGCTGGGATCATTAAGTTTAACATCATCACACAGATTTAATGAAACAGCGTGATGAATCTATTTACTGCAGAAGTAAGTAGAAATGCAGAAAAATTAAATATGGATGCAGTAAAACACCTCTGAGTGCCATCAAATTACTGCCATAGCACTGAGACAGTCATTACATAATCCCAACACTTGGACTGTTGCTGTGTTTTTCTGAGTTTTCACAGCACTCTTGTTTTCTCACCTGCACAAACGTGTACTTTTCCACGCATGTTTTTGTCGTAGTTTGAATCACCGCTGTGTTCATCACTGTGCAAGTAAATAAACTATTTTGAGCCTGTAAACTCTGAACAAGCTGTAAAACCTGCAAACCGAGTTCACCGACCTCAGTCGAGCCTTCATATTTCTACTGCGGCTTCGGTAAACAGCTGAGACTCAGTAAACATCCACTTCTGTGCAGAAAATTTAACATCATACTATGACTTTAAAGATTTCAGAGCTCGCTGTGAGGTGTTATGGCAGGAAAGGGACAGCTGTGTTTCACTCCACTCATGAAAGATGAACAAGACAGTACTGAGTCGGCACTTTTTGAGCGCGTCTCCACACTGTCCTTCACCATATCAATGATGCATGTGTGCCCCCAATCTCAACCCAGCTCAGAGGAGATTAAAAGAAGAGGAATCAGGTAGTGGGGGTTGGGAGCAGATGAGGAGGGCAGACCGGGCACAGGTGTGGAGGAAACATCCGCTCCTTCAACGTGACACGGAGGAAAGAAAAACAGTTGCCAGAGGAGTTTTCTTTTAATTTTACCTCAACCACACCGAGATGAGATGTTACCACAGCCTGACAGCAGGCCATCCCAAAATAACAGCAGGAAATGTCAAACTTCAGACACTGAGATGAGGCCAGCAGAGGTGAGCAGCGCATTTTGTGGTCCACCATCACCTTCCCACCTCATCATCCGCCCGGCTCTACACGCAGCCAGACAGGATGAGGACAAGCAACCTAAGAAACCTGCTGCACCGAGCAAGCACACACGGTTATTCATACGTGTTCCTGCCGTACGTCTGCTTCTCTCTGCAGCGTATTTTTGGTCATGCGTGGAGACAAGTGTCGCACCAAAGACACGTTTTCAGCCTCAGAATATTCTGTGACTTAAAACAGGCCTAACAGGGACAAACACAAGGCAGACTGGAGAAAAGGAACCTCTTCAAATCAGTCACCTTACTGATACGTCTGATTTAAGACTCCTTCTTATAGAAATTACATAATGGAGCTCAGCGAACTGACATAGGTAGCTGAGAATTGAGGCAACTAACATAACAAGCGGTCACATTGTACAGATCGACGTGTCATCGTAGGGTTGTATAGATAACCCTACGATGCGAAGCCGAAATGGTGGGGTGCTCTGACTTCTTCTTCTTTGTTGGTTTTACTTCACACTGATTAAAATAAAATACCGCGAATGTACTAAGATAGATTAAGATATCAAACGTGGTATTTTTGATTGGAAACTGCTAAAGCTATTTACAGCTTCCCCCCCAGAGGTTAAAGAGTAAGTGAACCTGAACTGAAACCGCTGACCTTGCAGGCGAGTTTATCCACCAGGGCCACGATGGAGTTCTTAAAGAGCGTGGCAGCAGTCAAAGGCCGCTTAGTGACCTCGGTGATGCCCAGCTGTCCATCTGGCCACATCTCCTTCAGGACTGGGTTGGCACTTCAACAGAGAAAGGAAAGAGCAAAAACAAGAGGGGGGGGGCGAGAGAGCCATGAAAGAGCATAATAAATCAGTGATGAGACGCAACTTATTTATACACCAAACCCAGTTACTGAACTCTGAAATTGAGTTTTTGGCACCTGTTGTACATGAGACGCTTGAAGTCTTGGAAAAGCATGTCCTTATTTTTGTCCAGAAATCCCTCGACGGAGTAGCTGTAAGAGAGGGACAGAGACATGACTGTCAACGTGAGTAATGAGGTGAAAATGGTGTCAGAAAAAGGTTCAAGATGGACAAGTCACTTGAAAGTCAAACAGAAAGTTTAAATTGAAGATATTTGACACTTGAAGGGTCTCTATCATTTCTGAGACAGACTTCTTTGTCTCCCTAAAGTGATTCAGGGTCCTCGGGCCCCAGGTTTAGTCGATTTACAAATTAGGACCACGGTCAAACTCTCAGTCCCCTGATGGCTCATGTTTCAGAGAGAGAAAAAAGTAAATATGTAAAAAAACGGAGCGGTCTGCGTTTATTAGTATGGCTGGGTTAGTTTTGGTGAGGCATCAGTGGGAGGTCACAGGCGCTCAGTGAGGCTCAGTTACATAAGCCGTCCAGCTCCGGGGTAAGAGCCTGCTGTGCTGTAAGTGTTGCCTCAAATAAACCTCTGCCTCTCACTCCCTCATAATAATGTCATAAAAACTTGCACTGTGTGGACGCTTTGCTTCAAAAATGCATTCAAACCCCTCTTTGATATTGAAGTAATATCGCTTAAATACACTTTAAATATGTCCAAAGCAGAAGTCCTTGTTGAACACTCACAGAAGACAATGTTGTTTTGTAGTAAAATAAAATATTAAACTGGTCAAACTGATACAGAAAAACATGTCCACCTTACTGTCATAGATGTTTATGGCTCTTTAAGCCCGGGAACTGATTTATTTCCACCTCCTTCACCAGACAAATAATCAAATATAAATTCATAATCTGAGTTTATTTTAGGATTTCAGAGAGACGCCAGCAGGTTGTAGAACAAACAACCTGACAATCAAAAAAGAGTGACAAACATGTGACAAAGCAGAAGGTTGCAAGGCCGGACAGCTGGTTCCAACATCCACTTAGGTCTTAATGGTATAACCGAGCCCAGCTCCTCCATGTTAACAGGTGGGACTTGGGTCGAACTATAATATCAAAATCAAAGTCAAATTCTCTTTTCTCCGACATGGTTTCTGTCATTAAAGTTAGTTTCCATCGTGTTGTTTTTTTCACCATGTTCTGAGAAATTGGTTTAACTGTAGTAACAGTATAATGCCTTGATTGACAGCTCTGTTGCAGCTCTTAGTAAATTGGAAATAGTCTGCGGGTCTTTATGGATCTAATTTAATAAAGTCCTCTGCTGGACTTGGATCATGACGAGCTCTGTTGCAGTTGGGGGCGAACTGTTGGACGTCAACACGTTTTCATGTCAGCACAAACTTCAACCTCTGTTACTTTTGAGCAAAATAAACAGATTAACTATTATCAAAGTTCACTTCTTTATTAACTAGTTAACAGTTAGATCAGTTGTTATCATTCAAACACTTGTACGAGGGCGTCACTGGCCTTGTGGTCCAAGTGTGTCTCATATACAGAAGTTAAAGTGGACTGCTCCTTTTCTGCAAATCACTACTTGCTCTCTCTTCCCATTCCATTTCCAAAGAAAAAGAAAGCCCCAAAAATATAATATGAAACATACTGTTTTAAGAAAGTCACCGGTTCGATCCCCGGGCCAGGCAGGGCCTTTCTGTGTGAAGTTTGCATGTTCTTCCTGTGAATGCGTGGATCTCTCCAGGCACTCTGGCTTCCTCCCACAGACCAAAAACATGCTCATTAGGTTAATTGGGACTCTAAATTGTCCTTAGGTAAGAGTGTGTCTGACTGGTTGTCTGTCTCTCTATGCGGCCCTGCAATTGACTGGCGATCAATTCAGGGTGTACCCCGCCTCTCGCCCGATGATAGGCTCCAGCTGTGACCGATAAGGGATAAGCGGTACAGAAAATGTATGAAAGTTTATCTTTTGTTTTTATGTAAAGCTGCTGAAGTGGTTAGATAAACTAGAGGAGTACAATTTTTAATATTTACCTTTAAAGATTGTAGTTTTAAGCTCAAAGGCAAAGCTTGAACTCAACAAACAAAACGAAAAACAGCAGCCGAGTATAAAGGCGCCTGGTGAGTTCCCACCACTGCAGTGACTCACACTCCATCCCTCTGAGACTTCTCCTCTGAGACTTCTCTCTCTGTCACCCCGTTTCTCTCTAACAAACTCACAAACAAAAATACAAACACAAATGCAGCGTGTCACATGTCGTCTGCACGGCCCCTGTTTGTGTCCCGGGCTGTCACATCTGGAGGCAAAGACACTAAGGCAGGGCTATGACAGATGTGTCCCCTTGGCTTACGGGCGTCCAAAAACCACCTGACCAGATCCCGGAAAAGCTCGGTGAGGAGGGAGAGAGCGGGAAAGAGAGAGAGAGAGCGGTATAAACACACAAGAACAAGCCACAACAGTCATTTACAAGGACAGGACAGAAGAGGAAAGTACTGGGACAGGGAGAGAGGACATGCAGAGATAAAGACAGCAGCCCTCCAGAGACAGGAGGATGATGGAGAGGAAAGTATATTTAAGTATGAAGGTCAGGGCTGGAGCAAGGACAGGGCTGGTTTATACAAGGTTAAAAGGAAAGCACACACTGACTGAGAGGAAGCCAGGCCACAAAGAAATCTTGCAGTACAAAGTTGTGCAGTAAGGGAGTAAGATTTATACTACGGCTGCTCAAAGTGCTGCATGTGCAAACTGAAATACGGCAGGGAATTAAAAAGTAGATGGTGAAAGAAAACCAGGTGAGTGTCGCAGAACAAAAGGAGGAGTTAAAAAAAAGAGGAAACAGGATGAGGAAGGAGGATACGGAGGAGGTGGAAGAGAGAGAGAAGTAGGTCAGAGCTCGTGATAGTGGCGAGGGTATATTTAGCCAGAGCGAGGATAGACTCGGATGAGGTGGGATGTGACAGGGGGATGATGGGGGGTCAGCGTCAGCAGGAAGTAATGTACAGGGGGTGACAGCTCAGCGGGAGAGCCCCCGACCGAGGCTGAGAGAGAGCTGAGGCAGGGTGACAGAGACACGCAGAGCCATCTGTCAGTACCTCTGCAGGTCTGTCACACATGCTCTTATCCAGCCCATTCTGATAACACCGCCAGGGGTGCAACTTCCAGCTGCAGTTAACAATTACTGAGAATTCCCCCGTTTATCTGCAGGCTGTTTGATCTATAAAAGTCAGAGACGCACGGGGAGAACGTCACTTAATGTTTTTTAATGCCCAAAATTATAGCATCAAATGTCCCGTTTGTCGACCACTCGTCGTTTTTTATTGAAACTAATCAAATATGCTTTGTCATAAAATACAAACGCCTCACGACAGCACAGGCTATCATTATAATGTCAGTCTGTTTCATTACCAGCTGAATATCCTCACAGGAGCTTTACTGATCCAACAGCAGAGACCCCTCAGGTCGGTATAGTCCACGGCACAACGGGAGCCGGACTTCATAACAGCCAGACGAGTTTTAGAAGTTCAGGCTTCACTTTTGTTGAGCTGTCATACCTTTTATTATTTTATACAGTTCTTGTTTTAGTTTCTGTTTCACACTCTCCTGCTGCTCTGTCTCTGCTTCGCTAATTTGCTGCAGGAGATGTGCTCAACCACAGAGCTGCCAATCATAGCATCAAATAACTCATCAAAACTAAAAATTAACACTCAGATATAAACTTTTTAATGCACACGAGTGCATCTGTACTGATTTGCATCATCACTTCTGCAACTTTAACTACATTCATGCGACTATACTTGCACATTTCCTTTTGAGCATGATTCCTTATGCAGGACTTTTACCAGTAATCGAGTACATTTGTTGTGTTTTTGGTGCTTCCACTCCCTCCTACTGAGTCCTGATGAGAGGAGGGCTGTTAGGGAGGGAGCAAAGTTCGGTTGCCATCTCAAGCTTCAGAGAAGGATGAAATCACTCTGTGTTTCCGTGGGTGTTAAACATCGCGTTAGCCTGGATTTCCCCGAGTCAAAGAAACTCAATAAACCCTACTCCAATTCTCTCTGGTTATTGCCGCCGCTCGATCAAACGGAGCCAAAATAGTCTCATCAGCTGGCTGCATCCCTCCTCCTCCTACGATCGTGTTCCCTTGACATATTAACGTCCTTCCCCTCTCTAGATTGAGGGCAGTACACGTGAGCGAGGGGGGGATCTTATGGAAACGAAGCCATGACGGGTGACTGCCGGCCGGGGGCCGCGTCTGCCAAGTGTGACGTTTAAATCCAAAGAGCACATTAGGGAAGAGGAGCAGTGGAGGAGGAGGAGGAAACTGAAGGAAATGATCTTTGGTCTGGGACTCATAAACCCAATGGCCAATGACATAAACAGAAATGTTTGTGCTTCCAAAATGAGAAAAAAAACAGAAATATCAGTTCAGAGCATCAAAACAGATTTATAATGAGTCATCCTTTAAATTCTCCTGGAATCGCTCTGAGATTATTGTAATGGTCATCTGTTTTCTGTCAATTATCAAAAGAAAATCCTGCAAGTCGAGGATTCAACATTTCCTCAGATGACAAAGGGTCATATAAAAATCTTAAAACGCAACATATCCAAACTGCAACACAGCCGATTGATGATTTAGTGAAATACTGAGATCAACACAGATGAAACCGTTTCCTCTCCCTCTCCTCTATGATGCCACATGTGTTGCACACGGTTGGATCTGCACGCCTGGCTGTGCAGATTAGTGAATGCATTTTAATACACTTCATGTATTTTGCATCGGTGGAATGTACTGTACACACATGTTATATGAGCTGTTGGCACACGTTTCAGTGAATACGTCAAGATTTCTTTGCCTCATCAGGGGAGCAGCAGCAGCAGCATCCAGGAGTTTAATTTTAGTCGTGTGATAATGAATCATAACTCTGTATTCAGTATTCCATTATTAGATGATCAGCTTGTGGACAAGGATTGTTGAATGTCTAGAAGTTCATAACAATCTGCAACTATACATCTATATGTGACGGTTCATGTTTGACAGGAGACACAGCTGTGACAGGAGCGACCTCTCTCTGTCTCACGCTGCAGGTTGCCAAAGGTAAAGGGCGCAGAGTGATGAAAGACTGGCGGATGGCATTTAGATAAGAAATAATGGACCAATATACATCCTTGTGCAAAAATCAACTTGTATGTAACACAATCTTTCCAGTAATTGACACAGTAATTCATTTAAATTCACCCACTCCTGCCAGTGTCATAAACTAACCTCTTCAAATAGGATCATATCACTCACAATGATAAACTCTGCGTAATATCCTCCCACTTTTTCTGCCGCAATGAAGTGTGTAAAGACTTTGAGAGACTTTGAGAGACTTACGTGACGTCTCCAGCATAGTGGCGAATTCTGAAGTGTTTCTGGAAGTCCATGGATTTGTCCGTCGGGCTGAGCTGGAAGAAAAAAAAGAGGGTGCTGTCAGCGCAAAGCCAGAATAAATAAAGATCTTGTCTTGCAATTAAAATTTGGTAGTGATGAATTAAAGTTTAAGTTGCTTTTTGATTGTTTGAAAGGCATTTATGATGCCCAAAAAACAATGAGGGCAATAATGTGAAAACTCTGCCCTCTACTGGCAGCAGCACAAATAACCACTAAAGTGACACTTTGACCCTTCCAAAACATGAACCTGTTAGAGATTCAAAATGCTTAAATGTGGTGCATGTAAGATGACTGAAGATTATGTAATGTCATTATTTGGTGTGTTTTTTATTACTGTTAATACACAACAGTAATATCACGTCCTGATCGTTACATAACAAACTTCTACAACAATCACAGAGACACGTGAGGAGAAAATTAACCTTTAAAACTGTCTCTAGTCAAATCAGGCCGTTGAGTATTTAAGCCCTTTTTTTTTGTTTTGTTTTTTAAAGAAAATTCATGAAAGCTCAGTGAATTTTATAGAGAAAACCTTTCAGGAAAATTGCTTCACCAGCTCCAGCCCAGTGCAAACAGGTTGTCAGCTTGTGTGTTTTAAACCTATGATCCAAACATCCCATTTGAGATTTACGTAATTCACCCTTTCAAAATGTACAACGTTTTAATTCATGGTCAAACTTAAGGAACATTCAAGAGTCAGTTTGGGTAAATAACTTCTGCTCACTCCTGTTGTTCTTTGCAAAGTCTGAGGAGGATCTGTTACAAGCAATGATTCACTTCATACCAACAACGCAGAGATAAGGCCAAACGGATGACGCTGAGGTTTGTCTCACCTTGCGGGACGTGTAGTGGGGGTGTTGGGCCAGTTTGGTGTCCATGCTGTCCAAACAGACCGTGTCTGTAACTTTACCCACAGTGAGGCACGCCTCGTCCAGGATGGAGATGATTCCTTTATGAGGCTGCTCCACAAGATCAACGATGACCTGGTTGTTGGAGTAATCGATCTGTACAACAGAAACTAAGGTGGTTAAAAGTTTCAAAACACAGTTTTCAATTCAACACCACCAATAACAGAAGAATCATTAAGATGATGTGGTGAGAGATCCTGGGAGTTGTTGTCTTCGTTATCCAGCAAACACAACCCCTGAGGATTTTTCTCTGGTATAACTCAGGGAATAAAACACGTTCAAAGGGGAAGAAATGATAAGTTTTCTCTGTTATGATGTTTTGTCAAGTTTGGCCTCGATTCGGCTGCCTCTGCATAGACCTTGACTTCACCGGCACAGTATGTCAGTGCTAACTGAGGCAGCCTTCAGCTTCTCATCTCACTTTGGCTGGAAATAAAGGTATGCGACCCATAGTATATAGTCAGTGTGACCTTGAAGCACAAAGTACCTTTGACAATATGGAGATTAGAGTGTTGAATATTGTGGGAAACGTAGAGAAATGCAAAGGAGGAGGATATGCATGAAGGTGTTGTTTATATCTGAATTTGCATCAACGGACTTTAAAATACACTTTAGATCAAGATTCCAACCTAGGAGATATTATTAAAACTAGATCCAGAGTCTGGGTTTAGAAAAACACATTTCTTCAGTGCTAAAATTAGCAACAAGGCAGTCTTATTTTCCAGTCTGAGCGAAAACTAAGCGCCACAAAACTTATATTACATCACCAACCAAGGAAACAGAATTTAATGGTCCTCTGGGTTCAGATGTGTCCTCCCCAGAGGCTGTCTGTTGCCAGCTTGAGTACACAACTCAGAAAAGTATAAGAAATCGGTCTAGTCATTTTCAAACATAATGTTACGTAATTAGGGGGGAAACATCTGAACCATGTTATCAAATGAAATATGCACTTAAGGTGGTCTTTTTAGGGTGTGAACTTGCAGGCACCGGGTGTGTTTTATGGATGAACAAACTTTCTGTTAAGGGGAACTCTAAGAAAAAAAGACATTGAGAGGAAAACATAAATAAGATCTATTTCTTGAGAATATTTTCCTCCAGCACACTATGATGTTGATAGCGTGTATGTGGCTCTCTCGTTCACATGTGACTAATGTGTGTTCCTCACGTGTTGCCAGGTGATGCCCTCTCGCTGGTATTCGCCTTGCTCCTGCCTGAGGATGAGCTCGATGAAGAGCTGATGCAGCTTCTCGTTGCAGTAGTTGATACAGAACTGTTCGAAACTGTCAAACGGCAGAGGAACAAACACTTGAGCAACACCGTCAACACTGAGTCATTTTTATCGATGGAAGGAAAGCGAGGCAGCAGGTTTCACAACATGTGCACACCCACCTGTTGTTGTCGAAGATCTCAAAGCCGTAGATGTCCAGCACACCGATGACTGTGTTTTTCCCATGAAGCACTGGGTTGTAGTCTTTTACTTCTATAACAGCGTTGATGCGGCCTACAATCCAACCAAAAAGTCTCTCGTATAGAGCCTGCAGAGATGCAAAAACAATGAGACGACTGTACAATTCTGAAAAGAGGAAGCTTGTAAGAGACAAACAGCACCTTGACGAAGGCGTCCCGTCCAAAGCACGCGTCCTGTTCTGTGTGCCCCTTCTCGATGACCTCTCCACCCCCGGTGGCCACGGTTCGATACAGCAGGCTCTTACTGACGCTCTCAGGGTCTGTGTCCGTCAGCTCAGCGATGTGATCTACAGCTTCAAGTCCCAGAATCTGAACGTTCTCACTATCACTCTCAAACTGCAAATTACCCTGAAAAACATAACAGCGCAGTTCATTATGAGCTCATTAGTGGGCGACTTCAAGAGAAGGAGAGAATCACAGATAAAAATATTCACCAGATCTCCCTTTCCATGGTTTCTTATCTTTTTAAAGTCTTTTCCTCTCTCTGAACATCCACGCTTTCACTCACCAGCAGAAGAATAGAGGCCAGGATCTGATAAATGGAGTTAATCTCCTCTTGTGAGAAGCCGATCACACTCAGAGCGCTCATCACGGCTTTGTGGCTGGAGCGATCATTGTTGGAGGTCTTAAGAAAAAAAAAAATTGCATGAGTAAAAGTTTTCACCAAATGATCAGCAAAAAAAGAGTAAAACCTAGGATAGTGATGCAACCGAGTGTATTGTGCAGGTTGTTAAATTTCATGTGAATGGATGAGTTTCTTTGACTCACAGTGGTGGCAGCTCCCTCTTTGGTGTAGTTGTAAATAGCAGGATCGTTCTGCAGATGACATGACTCCAGCAGCTCATCTGGGGCTCCGCGTAGTAACTTTTAAACACATGTCAAACACTTCAGTTTAGACTGGACCTGATTTATTTATTATTCTGCTGCAGAGCTAATTCACTTTATCCGTGGGTTATATTTTAGCTTTAGGTTTAAGGGTCATCAGTGTGTGTTTCACAGCTGCAGCAGAGTTTTGAGTTTACCTGGTAAAATGAGTGGAAGTTCCTCTCCCCGTCTTGCTGGTGGACTACCCTGGACTTAAACAGGAGAGCAGGTTATGGTCATAAATCCTTTGATACATTAGACATTAGTGTTGTCACAGATGCCAGTATAAGATAATGCAAAGTAAAGAATAAATGACAAAGGAAAATTGAATTTATCACGCACAAAAACGATCCAGCTGTTTGGCTTAGCCTTGTGGTTAAAGCATGTGTCCTTTAAACTGAGAGCTTGGATCTCATTGCAGCAGCTGTTGCTTAATGCCTTGAGGGGATATGTATCCACTATTTTGCGCTGTAAATAAACTTTTTCTGTTTCTCAACACTTTTCAGGTGTTTTTGTGCATTTTCGGCAGCAACAAAAGACAAGTGAGACAGCTCCAACGAGGTCAAAGAAAGTTTTCTAGTCCTTGAAATGAAGTAAAATCACCACTCTGAATTCAGAGTGCAGCATGTCATATGGCCGCTCTGGGACAGATTGTCACTTTGGTGTGCCTGTGATAGATTTTTCCCTGGAGTTGGGCTGAACTTTGATGAGAAATGATACATCTAAAGAGAGCATGTTCACGCTTTTTGATTTTGAAAGACATCAAAACTTTTTAGAAAGTGATCGCGACTGTCCTCGAAATGTTTGAAAGTAACATCATGCAGTCAAAAACAAACCATCCTCTCTTCTGTGGAAATTTCAAAAACTCACCAAAGAGAACCGCTTTTTCTGCGTTGTGTTGAAGTATAATGTTTTTATCTTTGAGTTACTCGCTCAAACCAAACAGTTCGCCAACTGTTTGACTACAGCAGGTGCACTTTAATATGAATAATTCTACCCTCTGAAAATGAATCATGGCGCCGTCATTCACACCAGCTTTCAGTGCCAGACGGTAGTTTAACAGAGTGGATAAATACAGCAGCATAAAGTTCCCCCAGGTGGACTATTCATTAACAGGCAGGAGCAGCAGCAGCAGCTTCACCGACACATCTATTCATGGATGTTCCTTCACACCTCTTCGTCACCACCTCATGAAACATTCATGTTCAGGAGGAAAAGACGTAATTTAAAAACTAATGAGCATAACTTCTTCTGCACCTTCCTCCAGGGTTGGTACACCACGCCTCAACAGAGCTTCTAACTGCCTCACCAGTCCTGCCCACTCTCCTCTCACCTTCTCCAGCAGGTAGTTGTTGATGTGCCCTCCTGTGGGATCGCCGTTGAAGTTGAAGTTGATGTCCATGTATTTCCCAAAGCGGCTGGAGTTGTCATTGCGATTCGTCTTGGCGTTCCCAAAGGCCTCCAGAACACAGTTGGACTTGAGCAGCACATTTTTCACACTTGATTTATCCCATCGCAGGGAACATTAACAGAAATATGTGAGATATTAGGGAAGTGAAAATGGAGTTCAAGAAAAAGAAGAAAGTATGATGATTCATGGTAATATCATATTCTTTTAATCAAATAATCCATTTGTGTTGGAGTTCAGACTAAACCCCATCTGGGTCTAAATTTCAGTTATATAACTGGCTTAAATGAATGCTTTTATGTGGATAGAATACGCTTTAAAGTCTTATTATATAGCACCACTCACCTCTCAACCTCTGCCCTCTGGCTTGGATTTGTGATGGCAGCAATGTACTGCATGATGTATTTGCTTGCCTCTGTTTTTCCTGCTCCACTTTCCCCTGACAACACAAAAACACACTGATGAGCAGGTCAGTAAAGCTCTTTGTTACATTATGAACTCATTATACTCTCTATTGCTCGTCTGAAATGAATTGGTTTATGAGCTATAAGTACCTGGAACATTTCATGGCTATCATGTTAGTCATGCAGAATAAGTGAGTCTTGTGCAACAGGACTACTAAAGAGGGAGCATAACGCTAGTTTTTCAGGCTTAATATTGTCCTTTTGATAGTTTTGTAAAAGATGTACATGATTTACAGCAAAAAAAAAACAAAACAAAAAAAAAACGTAGCTTCTATAAAACCATTATTTCAGCCACAAAATGCCTCGTTTCAGCTACAGTCTATTGAAGTTTACTACACTCTTATAAAGACAATCACCTATTAGTCATTTAGCAAATTTCATGTAGCTACTATTGAACAATAAAGTCAGAACAACCTTGAGTCTCATCCTGTCATTTCAACAAAACACGTTTAGTTTTTGCATCCAACATTTGAACACAATAAGAATATAAAAAAGGTCCGACGTTAGCCCAAAGCTAACTTTAAACGTTAGCGAAATTGCACCTGTAGGCTGAGTAATGTAGCCTGCTAAGTATTAGCATGTAACTGTTGCTAGGAGACGAACTAGCAAAGCGTCTGCTAGCTTAAAAAAAAAGACGTTGAAAGCTTGGTCCTCGCAACTGCCGTAAAGGAAATTAACAAAGTGTATTTAATGATTAACCCTTCCGGGACCTTTAGATTTTCCTCCCTCTAAAGTCCCTCGTGGCTGTTAAAAGCCACTTTTTCTGTCGGCTGTAAAATCATATTGGATTAATATTTTTTTCAGATTTTTTTTCACAAATTTCTTATTTTACTTCTGCCCTGTTCGAAACTAGCAAATGTTTCATTGAAAACAATTTTTTTTAACCCTTTAAGTGCCAATTTAAGACAAAAAGTCACAAATTTAGCAAAAATTGAAGGAAAATGACCCATTTTTTTAATAAAACATGATCAGAAACTGGTAATCTCTTGCAGGGTATTAAAGTCTTGAATATGTCAGAGATTAGTAATATAATTTACTTATATACATTTTCATTGAAAATAAAAATTTTAACCCTTTAAGAGCCAATTTAAGACATAAAGTCACTTAAAAAGCAAAAAAATGGAAGGAAAAAGAAGGAAAGTGACCCATTTTTTAAATAAAACATGATAAAAAACTGGTAATCTCTTGCAGGGTATTAAAGTCTTGAATATGTCAGAGATTAGTAATATAATTTACTTATATGCATTTTCAGTTTTTCTGTAGCATCAGATTTAATGAAAAACTGCCTTTGGCGCCTCCGAGTGGCCAAAGCTACTTTGTCTGCTGTAAAATCATATTGGATTAATATTTTTTTCAGATTTTTTTTCATACATTTCTTATTTTAATTCTGCCCTGTTCAAAACTATCAAATGTTTCATTAAAAATAAAAATTTTAACCCTTTAACGGCCAATTTAAGACATAAAGTCTCTTATGAAGCAAAAAATGGAAGGAAAATGGAAGGAAAATGACCTTATTTGCTTCATAAGAGACTTTATGTCTTAAATTGGCCCTTAAAGGGTTAAAATTTTTATTTTCAAAGAAACATTTGCTAGTTTTGAACAGGGTAGAAGTAAAATAAGAGCTGTATGAAAAAAAATCTGAAAAAAATATTAATCCAATATGATTTTACAGCAGAAATAGTGGTTTTGGCCACTGGGAGGCGCCAAACGCAGTTTTTCATTAAATCTGATGCTACAGAAAAACTGAAAATGCATATAAGTAAATTATATTACTAATCTCTGACATATTCAAGACTTTAATACCCTGCAAGAGATTACCAGTTTCTGATCATGTTTTATTAAAAAAATGGGTCAGTTTCCTTCATTTTCCTTCCATTTTATTTGCTTTTTAAGTGACTTTATGTCTTAAATTGGTCCTTAAAGGGTTAAAATTTTTATTTTCAATGAACTATTTGCTAGTTTTGAACAGGGCAGAATTAAAATAAAAAAATGTATGAAAAAAAATCTGAAAAAAATATTAATCCAATATGATTTTACAGCAGAAAAGGCAGTTTTGGCCACTGGGAGGCGCCAAAGGCAGTCTTTCATCAAATCTGATGCTACAGAAAAACTTAAAATGCATTGAATTCAATTATATCACTAATCGCTGACATATTCAAGACTTTAATACCCTGCAAGAGATTACCAGTTTCTGATCATGTTTTATTTAAAAAATGGGTCATTTTCCTTAAATTTTTCCTTCCATTTTTTTTTGCTTTTTAAGTGACTTTATGTCTTAAATTGGCCCTTAAAGGGTTAAAATTTTTATTTTCAATGAAACTAAAAAAACTGTTTTTAATGAAACATTTGCTAGTTTCGAACAGGGCAGAAGTAAAATAAGAGATTTGTGAAAAAAAATCAGAAAAAAATATTAATCCAATATGATTTTACAGCCGACAAAACAAGTGGCTTTCAACAGCCACGAGGGACTTTAGAGGACGTTTTTCTGTCCTGGCTTTATTATTGACTTGGTGAAAATTTTGAATTCATGTTTTCAAATAAAATTTCAAATTAAGCTTAGAAAAAAAAATTCATCACATTTGCTGCAGTAAAAAAAAAGTTATATCCAAATTAGTTAAATAAACTGGTTATGTCTCTTAAGTTTTGATATTGAATAAACTCAGGCTTTCAAAAACCTACAAAGCAGCACTGTTTGAGTAGCTTTTCGTATGGTGGTGGATCAAAACTTTTAGAAAACACTTTCAAAACACTTAGAGAGGGTGAATAAACGAATAACGTCTTAAAGTAAAAATACCAAAATCTCCTTACAAGTGTATGTTTGCTTATTTATAGTATTGGAATACACAATTATTCAACTTATCAAGAAAAACCTATCAATTTATATTGAAAAAAATCCACTGCCTACAAGATGTCAATGGCAGCAGTAGTCACAGGATAACTTTTCATCTGGCGCCACCCAAAGGCCAAGACTTGCAATTAACTAAGGTAAATATCCAGGAACAGGAAAGATGAGTGTTTGGATCCATCAAACAATCTCTAGTTCCAACATGTTTATTGTCATGATGCCATGAGGACTTCTTCTCCAAACAATAGAGTCAAAACTTAGTTCTTTGTTATCATGTTTAGGTTCATGGTTGGGAAAGTAGGTGGCGCATAAGTACAACACCAACAAAGTTTAAGAGTGTAATAGAAACAGACCTGATATGACTATACAGGTGTCTTTGGCTCGCCTCTTCATGGCTTTATATGCAGCATCAGATACAGCATACAGGTGAGGAGGGTTTTCATAAAGCTCTCGGCCCCTATAGGCTTCAATGGTGTCTTTGCCGTAGATGTCCATATGTCTGTAGGGGTTCACGGAGACAACTACTTCTCCAATGTAGGTGTAGATCCGTCCCTTTTCAAACCTGTCCAAACGAGAGTAAAGTCAGAAAAACTGGAGGCAAAGTTTACATACATGTGCACGTAAATGGCCCTTCAAACATTTTTCTGCTTATTTGTGTGACAGTTAAAATTAAAGGAGAAAACAAAGGCACTCTTCTCCATGGCAATTTCACACCACCACCCATGTAAAAAAAAAAAACCTTCAGTATTGAAGTTCCGTATAAACCCACCTTCATATCGTGTATGGCTGACAGGAAGTGACACAAGCATTTGTACACCGAAAGCAGGAAATTGTGGTTTGAAGGGCGTCACCACTTTTTGTAACTTTCTGTGGCTTTGTTAAGCATGAGGGGAGTGAAATTGACGTGTAATTCAGTGTAATGGAGCAAAATGACAAAGCTGGAACAAAACTGTTTGATTCTAAAGGCTTCTTGAGATGCAACTTTCCTATCTCTGGATTTCTGGTCCCAAACTCACCCCCCTGGCCATTGTCACGTTCTTTCAGACTAGCAAGTTACTGTAATCATTCTGCACACTTATACCTTTCCTGCACTCAATTCTGATTTATTTCATACATAGAAGTCTGCACAACCCCTGGAAAATTTCATCTCGGACAACACTTACTCTTATATCCAATCAAGGTTAAAAAAAACCCTCCTCTGCCCCTTACAAGAGGTTCTAATCCCAGTCATGACCTCTTGTAGTTTAAAAAATTTGTAATGGTAAGGGCCTGTCTGTACATCAACCGTAACAGGAATCTGATCAGGAAAAATTCAGCTGACAAAAGGAAACATGAGAAAAACACTCATCTTGACTGCAGCAAAGTCAGCACAAACTTAAGCTTGTTTTTTTCGCCATCAGACAAGTCTGCTCAAGCTGTGTGATGAAACACCGGCTAATATTTGCCAACCAGGGATGACAGACGGACTCCCAGCCAGGGCAGGAATGCTAAAAATGTTCATTTTGAGCCATCTGCTGTGCTTACGTCAGCTAAGAAAGTGTGAATTGTCTTTTTTAAAACCGTCTGATGTGATTGCGTCTCTGCTGACACTTTTAAAGACTGCTGGAATAAAACTGTGATGTCTGACAGTTTAAACTTCAGACCTGTTACCCATTAAAGTAAATGAGGAAGTAAGAGTTGCATTGAAAACAATGTGTTTTTAACTACATTAACGTTGTCATGGTCCAGGGAACTTTTGGAACTCTGATACTTATCACTGATTCAGCACCAAAGGAACTATGAACTATTTTGGTCCTAAAACCCTATTCAAAGGAACCTTCTAGCTTCTGGTACACCTCCAAGAGGTTCTTGGATAGAAGTTAAGTGTGGAGTGATTGGTCCATAAGCAAGTGTGGGATTTAAAAAATACAATTTTTAAATCCCACTGTAAATGACAGCAAGTAACAGTTGGTAAGAGCCCTGATGGTTCTTCCTGAAAAAGTCCCCAGAACTCATCAATCTTGAAACACCTATTATTTATGCTCAGCAACAAGTCGATCTCCCAATTATCACTTTCTATCACCTTATCCTGAACCAGTTTATTAACCAGCCAGGGGGAAACCACCATCACTAGCAGACTCATCAAGAGCCCACCCAACTGTTGTGGGTCCATCAGGATGACTCCTTCAAGCCCCAGGATCAAATTGAAGCTAGTGAATATAGCTTTGAGCAGTACATTGCCATCACTGTTCTTAAACATGGACTCTAGGAATGACCCTGATGGTCCTTTTTATGGGGATGTCTGGCCTGTGTATTTGAAACACGAAAAGGTCAATAAACACTTGATTCTGGCTGAACAAAACCCCATACTCCAGAAACTAGATCAGACATGATCCATCAAATCAATCGGAAGTCTTGTTGATGCAGCGGGAAAGGCACCAGTTGTCGTCATTACACGAAAGAACATGAGGGATTTATTCATTTGGATATTGAAGTCTGTCCTGCAATCCAGGCAACAACTGCAGAGGTGGTGAGTGTATCTCTTACTTATCGATTGCTACCAGATGACAGTTCATGTTTGACCTTGACTTGACTGAGAATTGAAATGACCTGTCTGTTGTTAATTTGTCCTACAAGCAGACTGATAAGGAACCACTGAAGCATTACCAACTGTGGAATCACTGGAACTATTTCTTGAGACGTTGACACCACTTTCAAATCAAAAATTTGAGCTAACTTCTTTTGACTATAGCTAAAAATCAGCAGTGATGTCTGACAGTTAAAACCTGTAACACATCACCCCCGTAAAAGACACTGAGGAAATGAGAACGGCCACAAAAATGAAACACTGTCTATACTTAGAGATGAGTACACAACCCTCGAGCATCACACATGCAAATGTTGGTGGAGAACTTACAGGTTTCTCACAACAGCATCAAGCATGTGGACTAAACTGTCCTCTTGAGAGGTGTTCCTCTGAGACACTATACATTAAACCATTCAAGCAGAACCAAATCCAACAGGTGAGGGACCATCTACCAAACAGGATGGGCTGAGACTGTGTAAAGGGAAGTGAGGATGGCCTTAAAAACTCTACACTTACAAAAGTATCATCTAAGAAGTCACTCAGTTAGTCATGATGAATACCAATTAACATTATCTATTGAGACTTAACATTAATCCACCAAAGATTAGGCACTTGGCCACACTTGCAGGTAAAAAACTTTATGCAGGAAGAAACCTTGGACAGAACCTGAGCAGTCATCTGCTAAGAGGAGATGGGCAGAAAGAGAGAGATGAAGACAGATCAAGTGGTTAATTGGTGATGTTGCATGCCCTTTGCTCTTCCTGTGATGTGAGACGGTGGTGAAATAAACCGCAGACTGTTATCTGACACATGCGAGTGAGCGGGAAGGTAGAAGTGACTCAATTTTTACCCTTTATGTTCATTTAAATTCCTTGTTTTGTATCTGTATTTTACTCCAAGTCTCCAAGGTAAGCTTGTCTTAATACTTTAATATGAGAATTTTCTAAGTTTGACTAAGTTCAAGTGTTTAATGTACTTGAATTGTGCAAGTATGAAATGAATGTCACCCTATTTTGTTGAAACATAACCAAAAACTTCAAGAAACATGCCTTTTTGTTAATACGTTAGCCGTATATGAACCATTACTCGTTGCATCTCTGACATCCAGCCGCTTCCCCTCCCTTCCCTCCATCAGACAGACACTTCAGACCTTACCTCAACTTCAGATTCTCCATAAACTGCTCCATCGTCACTTCATCCAGGAGCACAAAGTCTGACTTCCCAAACTCCAGACCCTCCAGCTCCGCCATCCTGGTCTGTATTCACCAAACTAAACGTATAAAAGTAAAAGACAAGACGTAGAGGAACAGAAAGCAACTCGAGGGAGGAAGAAGAAACAGAAGTGCACTCGAGTTCTTGGGCCTGATAGTGTAGACAGGGTGCAGTAGGCGTGTCTCTTTTGGTGGATTTAGGGTGTGCTTAGTCGAGTCACAGAGCTGTGGTCTGCAAGCTACAGCACGTCATACTGCCAGTCAGCCTATGCGCTCATGCAGATCTCTGTATAAATACTAGAGAGCTATCTTTAAAACTCAGACCACTTCTGCATCCTCTCTCTCTGCCACAAGGCTTCAAAATGTCAAAATAGCAAGAACTCTCTGCGCAACTCCTTCACTACAAGACTTCACTCTCTCACTTTCAAGACATGTTTTTTGTGTGTGAGAAAAAGGAGACCCTTATCCTAAAGACCGAAAAAATGTACCTAATTCTGCTTTATTTATCGTGGTTGAGAGATGCCCTTTTTTCTTGGGAAGGATCATGGCATTTCCTTTTTAAACTTGGCATTGGCAGACCAACATGTCCCTCAGGGTTTTCCCTTAAATTAGACATTCCCAACTTACAGAGGAGCCAAACTAAAGCTTGAGAAACTCAGATTCTTTGTTTTTAATTGGAGCCAGCGTGTTTAGCAATACTCTTTTGTCCGTGTCATGAATGAACATTGTTCAGGTGTGAGTGGTAGTGTGAGCTGAGAGAGTACGGGAATGCTGACTCAGATTTAGATAGTTGATCTCTTAATCCCCCTTGGCACTACTTTATTGTGTCTTTGGAATCTGGAACTTTTTCAAGAACTTTTCATTGTACATAATCTCATTTTTCAGCAAGTTTTTGGTCCCTTACAGAAAGCTACATGAGTCACAACGCAATTATTAAAAATATTGATAAAAAGACTTGGACAGAAGTTGTTTTACATACACATTTTGTTATTAATAACACTTTTCATGGTACAGTTCTGTTTCTGAAAGCCGATGTAATTATTGAAAATTGATCTGTGGACACTTTGTTGAGGACTTATTACTCATCGACCAAACTTAATGTTTAGTTTGAGGCTACTGCTTTGCTAACATAACTGCATAAGCGACTGTAAATGGGTTTGCTTTTCTATTTTTCTTCTTTGGACTTTTATATTTTTACTGCACATTATTCCTATAAAGAGTTTGAAAAAAATTAAAGTAATTTTTCCAGTTTGTGGTTTTTAACATATAATTCTAAAGCACTTGGCCACCAGCTGCTCAAGGCTACCCGCTTAACTTTCTAAGGCTAATGATAGTAAAACATCTTTCTGTGTGACTGAAAACTTTTCTTCATAATTTGGACAAAAAAAAATCTAATTATAAACATATTTCATTTAAGTGCAAGAAATGTTAGCTTAGCATTTTTCCAACAGTCTGCTGTAAGCTAAATTGATTGATTGTAGCAGCCAAAAATAAACTCACTTTGAGTTGATAAATCTTGTCACAGTTTGAATTAACTGAACTTTTAAGTTTAAAGAAGTCTGTCTACTATATTGACTTGCTTATCTTTGTTTTGGTTCAGAGAGCAGGTGTCAATGATAACAATGTTGAGATTCCTTGGCTACAGACAAAAAGGTGGAAACCCCCATTGGAAATTTATCATCAAGTCTTTGTTATATTAGTAAAAGAAAGACCTCTGAGTCAGACTTGCAGTCATGGTGTAGGTGCAGCCCTGTTTGAATACCCTCTTTGATTCAGACTATCTGCACTGATTTGAAAATGATATGAGTAAAGGGAGTCTACCACCTGACAAATTATATTAAACAAATGCACAACACCTACCTACTGTAAAGCCCCTGTTTCTTGAGAGCCTGTGACGCTTATTTTTGACTTTGTTTGGTCCAAACATCCAGTCATCCTTCCTGTAACAAGGTTGCCTTTCAGATCCTCATCGCCATCAGCACTTCCTCTCTCAGCATGAGTTCAGTGAGCTCTCTGAGCGTGTTTCACTTCCTGCAGACACTTCCTCTCATATCTGTCTCCGTCTAAATGCCGCATTCAGGTGCAACAGTAACATAAACAGACAATAACAAATGCTTTAATATCATTTTGTCTTATTAAAAAAAAGGATTTCTTCATCCAAATTGTCAAACTTGTGTCAGTTTTTTTTATTAGACATTCAGAAGTTCTCTAATTTAGTGCAAAATAGTGTTCACAACAGAAACATTCAAAGTGCAAATTAACCATTACTTGTCCAATACAATTGTGTTTATCAAGAGCTATCAAATAGTGTTTATGGAGGATGATGGTTTCAGATTTTGAAGAAAACAGTATTAGCCATAATCAGCGTATAGCAGAAGGAAAAAAAAACTCAAATCCTCAGCTATAAAGTGCTATCAATTAACCGATTAGTCGATAAAACAGAAAAAGATGTATTTGCAGTTTAGTCTTAAAAAAAGTCTGTGTGGTCTTGTAGTGGTAGGCTGGGTTGCCCTTACAGCAAAAAAGGGTTCTGGTCCAATCCAAAAGCATGCAGGGGCTTTTCTGTGTGGAGTTTCTTAATTCCCCCTGTGCATACTCCTGCTGGTTCCCACAGTCCAGTGAAAGGCTAACTGGGTGAAATGGTGACTCTAAACTTAAGTGTGTAAAGATGTACATTAATGAAGGAAGGTTTACAACTTGGCTTCTCCTGTAAATAGTATTTAATCAAGTGTCTATGAGTTTGAGGCTGTTGGTCATAAATCATAACATACTTTAAAATGTAAGCATGGCCTCAGGGAAATGGTCTAACTTGCTTTCGTACGTCATAGAGATGCAGGACTGTTCATTTTAGTCTGTTTCAATACCTATCATAAACTCCTCATAGGAGCTTAAATTGACTCCAGATTTGATAAAACAGGGTAAAAAAAAAACAAGACAGAGAAAGTTTGTACTTTCACCAAAAAGTCCATTACTTCTCATTTTTCTTTGTATTTCTACTTTTTAACTTCTGCAATATATTTTCAGTACTCAGTAATTGCCGTAATGTGGTCTTGGGTGGTTTAGCAGATGGAGATTTCTTTAGTGTTTCTTGTAAATCAACATAAGTTTGTTGTGTCTTGGGTTTTTTGCGGGACTCAGACTGGCTTCTTCTTCGGAACAAACTACCTGGATTAAAACCAGTTGCCGCTGGAGGCTTAGGCTCAAATTGGTTCTGTTTGTCACTCTGGTACTTTGATGAGGAGTAACCTGCAGCACCCCCAGGAGATGGATTAGTGTTAGCGCCTGTATCTCTGCCTGTGTTCCTTCTACTGATTGGTGGCAAAGAGCTGCTCCTCAGCCTGGAGTTTCTCTCATGTGTCCTCCCTGTACGTCCTGAGTTGCCGACCGGTTCACCCAACAGCCTCTGTTTCAGATCATAACTCTCTTTAGATGATCCTATGAGGTGGAGTTTATCAGTTGTCTGACTTACAAGCACTGAGTTATGGAGGTTTTCATTTTTACGAATTCTCTCCCAGAGAGCTCGGCCTTCGTGATCCATGTCTTTCAGAGGAACTTCTTGAGTGCGGAGTGATTTGTTGAGATCACACAGGAGATTCTGGAGTTTACCTGCAGCTGTTTTTGCATTTTTCCCCATTAAAGTAATGCTGCAACTCTCTTCAGTAATATCGCTATCTTTCATGATGACATTATGGTTCTCCAAGATGAGATCTATGTCTTTTTTCCTGAGTTTTTTTGCATATTCAAACACATCTGTATCGACAAGAAAGGACTCTCTTTCAGGTTGGAATGAACCACTCTGGTCTGGTCCTGGAGTAAAAGGACCCCTGTAGTCTGGAGAGACTCGACTGTTTTTGGTGGATCCATATGCCACAGGTGACGGAGCTTTGGGTGAAGATGGAGAAGCAAGCGGTGACTTGTTTCGAGACCCCGATCGGCCTCTTGCACTCGCAGTGTGGTTGAAGCATTTGGAAGTGGCTCCAGACAAAACCGGAGAGTATGTGTCCGGAGGAATGTCTGTCTTGGATCGAAGTTTTTCCAAAGACGCCTTTGCTGCTTGAAGTTTCAGAAACGACCCCTTGACACGCACCTGATCACTGCTCAGGTCTTTTAGCTCAAAGCCATGTGACTTGAGGATGTTTCGGGCCTCTGTCTTGTTGGAGAAACTACTCAAATGTACTGTAGCCTCCACTGGCAAATCCATCTGGGAACAAGAGGGAGAAAACCATCAAGTGACGAGGACAAACCTGCATGCAATATTACATCCACTCAAACATATTAAGTACAACCCATAAAAAGAAACACTTAACAAACAAAAACAACCCGATCACACCCAATATACATATTCAGTTACCTCATCATGATCAGATGGTTTCACTGCTAGGGGGTATTGTTGATGATTCATCTTCAACGCCTAAGAAATCTTGCACAAGACCCAAGCAGCAGCTGTGTAAAAGAATACATTTGTCTGATGCAAGTATGTAATACAGGAAAAGTATATTGATTTTTACCAAGTTTTATCTTCGCTTCAAGCAACAGAATATTTACACTCAAACTCGGGATCAAATGATGAATAAAGTTATCTTGAAGTATTTGAAGCTCATTCATTTAAAATATGGCTGAAAACAAACAAACAACAACAAAAAAAAAAAAAACATTGAAAAAATAGAAATAGCCGGTTAAAAAGACTGTGGTTTCATAAAAAGCTAGATACACTATGCTCATTTGTGAAAAAAGTGCTATTTATGAAAAACTGACAAAAAAAGATTTTTTCTCCCTTTGTAAATTTGTGTCCTTTCTTGCTGCAGTTTTGACACTTTTTTGACACAACTTATTTGTGTGAAGTTCCATTGTATTACAATCTTACTATTGGTTGTATCAAGTGCCTCTTCAGTGTGTATTAAAAATCGAAATAAACACCGAAAATTTTGCAATAATATACTTCATCATCTGACAGGATCCACATGAATTATTTAGGGTATTTCTGACCTAGAGAAATCCCCTTCACTCCCGGAGATGATCATTTCTCATATTTCAGTGCATATGTAGTTCTCCTCTCACTTCTTCATGCTAAATTAGCTGTGCAATATATTTAATCTAATTAGAATAAAATTCATCCCCAAGCCAAAGAAACAACAACCCGTTTCTACTTCTACTTACTGCGCCACTGTTTACTCCTCGGACCGTTTCGTCGAAACTGAAAGTTAAGTCTTGTCAGGAAAATCCCTGGCTCTATAGACACAGTTTCTCCAAAGTCTCTATATATTGGCGTGTGCTGGACGATTAAAAATCTAAAGCATCGATAAAACTTACAGCATTAATGATCTGAAAACGTTCACTTGTGATTTCTAAATGTTTAAGTATAATCGATCAAAGCCCGTGCGTCGATTACTCAATCACCTCGTTGATATTTCCAGTAAAGAAAGCCATATTTTCAATGTAGTGAAGGCAAAGTACTCCACTCCTTGTGAGTATTTATCAGGATAGTAACTTACTGTCATTGCTGTTTACTTGGTGATAAGTTTTCGTCTTCGCGACAAGAAACCGAAAGTAATGTCGTCACATCCGCTTCAGCTCAACATTAAGAGCTTCTCACAATAAAATATACGAAAATAACTTTTTGACATTTTTGGTAAAAGAGGCAGTACATTCCTCAACATTTTTACAAGTATATTCACTCAATGACTTTTATGTCGTTACTGTTTTGCTGTAGTTCTTTATATCTCTACCTCAGTGTTTTTCATTAGGAAATATAGCATTTTTCTACATTCTTAATGCTCGTTTGCCATTCCTACAACAGTCACGTTAAAACCAGGTTTTACTGTTTTAGAGGTAGGTTCAAATCCTGGGCAAGAGATAGGATCTTTGTTTTGCCAGATCCTGACCTGAAGTAGTGTTGTCGTTCTCGAACGATTGATTCAAAAGAACTGAATCTTTTAAGTGAACGTACTGAACCGAATCCCTTGAGTGATTTGTTCGTTTTTTTACTTCAGTTGAGGTGAGAGACAGCATTTCCAGGCAAGCAGCTGGCGAACAAGGGACCACATGCACCGACGCCTGAATCACTTGGTGAATGAATCAAGTATTGAACTACACTCTATGGAATCATTTTTGTGGGGCAAAACTACCTTTTCGCCACCACAACAACTTGCATTCAGTGAATGAATCACTCACTGAGCCCTATTTACCGAACAGACCTGGTAAACAGCATACCATAGGACAGTACACTTAAAACATCATGACTTATGAACAAGTTCATTTTTACAAACCTGTTTGCCAAAGCAACACAGCCAAACACTCGTCTCCTGGTCCCAGAAGCTACGAATTGAACCAAATCCTCAAACGTTCGGCATGTATCAGATTAAAAGGTCGGCGTCACAGGCTTCTCCCGCCAAACGCTAGACGATTCAGTACATCTAAAAGAACTGCTGTGCCCATCACTAACCTGAAGTTCTCATATGGAGCCATGTCGCCCCCATGTGGATTGTACACCATATCACATACTTCATAGCAGGATAACTAAAGCAAAACTTTGTTCAAGTGTCCTCAGATATTTCTGTACATGCAAAAATCTAAGCTAGATTTGTCACATCAAGATTTGAGATCCTTGAATCACAATGTAAAGGATGTCAATTCCCATGTAACACTTTCATATCTTTATGCGAAAGAAAAATCTGTCTTAATGCTTTTCTCTTAGTAAAGTCACCTGCAGATAGTTTTCTTTAATTACTGTTCATACTGTTTTATCAGAAATATTTCCCTACATATACTTGTTTTAAGTCAGGGTTTTCAGGCATCGAAGGTTACATTGGTTAGTGTATAGTGCTTTCTTGAGCATCCTCAGGTAGTGTCACCAAGATCTGACTTTTTTGCATTGGAAAACACAGAGAGAGTGAAGTGTCATAATGAAAACAATGATGTCTGGACTTATTTTGATGACAAAGACACTTTCATTGACATGCTTTTGCAAGTTATCCGTGAGGTTTTGCAGTTTGTACTAATTGTTCTGAGAAATGCACCGACTGTTGTGCAAATGTTAATAGTGATGTGAGAAATGTACCAAAGTGACTGAGAAAAACTGTGAGTCCAAACTTTTACCAGCTGACACAGACCAGTTAGTAATACTCCAGCAGCACCATCACTAAGATAGAGCTTTGGAATCCATTGAAAATCACAAAAATCAGGTCACAACCACAGATGTGTTCAGGAGGATATTTATTTCAGGAGATTACACTGTTTTTTTACACACATGATTTAACAATCATATAAATAAGAACAACAGACAGATTTCATTGTTGGGCTTCTTTACGAGGTGAACCTGGTACCTGGTTTAGACGTACCAGTAAGACCCCTAAAATTCCAGTGATACAAATTTATTTTTGTACAGCACAAAAAGCGAGCACTTCATAGTGCATTTTCAAATGCATAATTGTTATGCAGGTTAGATCCTCATGTTTGTTTTGGATGAGGAGCCACAACATGGTTCTGAATGGATACTTGTAAACCTTATTAATGCTGAAGCTCGTGCCGAAATAGCACATTCATTTGCTTAAAAAATATAAAAACATACCTCTGGACTGCTATCATGGCTCTTTACCTGTCAGTCTTCTGAAGGAGGCACTGATGAATTCAAACCTGTGAAGCGAAACAAGAAATTCAATATAGATAGTTGTAATGCAATTCTGAAAAAGTACGACTAGCACTGCAAATTAAAGATGCCATGTTGGAGGTTTACCTATAACCCTGCGGTGTAGAGCCACAGCAGGGCCTCAAACAGCCCCACATCTCTCTAGCAGAGACAACAACAGAGATCAGAGCCACTACAGGCCGAGCCTCACTGGAGAGGTCTGCACACCTTTAAGGTCAAACACACCGTAACACCGAGTTAGACACCCCCTTGAGAATGAATGTTGCTGACCGCTTGATTCTCTAGTTAGAGTTGTGTTTAGTCTCTTTGCTTAAGAAACTAGGCAAAGTTAAGAAGATGTTTGATGGGTAGGACCCTATATGTACTCTTGATGAAGTGAGGTGCTGTTCTGAGCATTATTTGTGGCTATAGAGTGGAGTTTTGGTTTAGGTTTGGTTATGGCTCCTCAGACCGCTGTGTATTGCTATCCTGCGGTCGTTACTTCAGTTGGTAAAACTAGAGAAGCAAGCGGTTGGCAACATTCATTTCTCGGGGGGTGTCTTACTTGGTGTTAAGATGTGTGTGACCCTTAATTTTATGCCGGAATATCCCTTTACATTACAGAGGGCTCTGTTAAGACAATGTAACTTTGAAGTAAACAAATGACAATCAGGTATTACCTGACAATATTTCATCTTTGCATGATGAAGACTGCCACCCTGGAGCATCACATGTCAATCAGGAGGTCTGAGCAGAACCAAAACATGCTTCTTCATCCTTGCAGACCTGTGAATGAGGTTATTCTATTAACACTTGATTCAATAAAATATGATTAGTCACTTCTACATTATGGGGAAAACAGTCTTAACAATCATCCCTCTTCAGCACATGGTCTCCAAATAGGCTCAAAACAAACACAAAACACTGATAATCTATCTTACTTCTCCTTCCTATGATGAAAACCGGACAGTTTGTCAGAGGTTTACCTATAACCCTGCCATGTTCAGTCACAGCAGGGCCTCAAACAGCCTCATATCTCTCTAGCAGACACAACAGGAAAGATCAGAGCCACTGCAGGCTGAGCCTTACTAGAAATGTCTGCAGATCCAATTTAGGACCAAATGGCGTGATACAGTAATAATGTCAACTTGTTCACCTGAAGCTCTTCACAACTTAATCCAATACACGTGCGCAGATAGATTAAGAGCTGTTGCCAGAGTGTCAAAATAAGACGAAATAAAGCTTTAATTACCTTTCCATCTTATCTTTTGTCCTTGGATACCTCTACTCTGTATATATCACTGAATAAATAATTATTAATGGAGGGAAAAAATCCCAGCACGTCAGTTTACAGAAGTACAACACCAGCGTTTCAAAGAGGCCTTTTTGGCGTTTAAAGCCAGAATTTCGCCAACAAAATCGACACTTTCCAAAAAATGTTAGTTACTGCTACCTTTCACGAAGTCAGGCACTTAAGATATAATCGAAATAAAGTCGGATGGCCATGGATAAAAGAAGATAACCCTCTGCTGTCGCCGGTTGTGTCCAAGTCGACTGAATACCGGATGTGACGCAGTAAAAGAAATGGCACACATACGGGGTCTCCCGGCAGGGGGCAGTGTTACACTAAAGATGGCGTCCGGGCAGATCAACTGGTGTAACGTTTTCTGTTTCTAAGGGAAATTTCCACCGTTTCTGATTTGACTTTCGCTATAGTCTTTAACAGTAAATCAAAATTAAAGCTATCAAAATATAACAAACAGAATATGGCGACCAGTTAAAGCAACAATGGGCAATATTAAAACGAAAATTACAAATTTCATACAGAAATGAGCAAAAAGAGACAAGAGAACTAAGTACTATGAGTTTAGGGGGGGAAATCATGAAAAAAAAACTGGGTTATTAAAGGAAACTTCTTTTTATTCAGCTAAAACAAAGTTAAAAATGAGATAAATACATTCTTAGTGAACTACAGGACAATTGAAAAATAACACAACATTGTTTAAGTCATATACGTATGCGAGAAGTTTAGTTGTAAGAGCAGAAGGAAAAACTTGAGCATAGGCTATATTAAAAACTAGAGCTAGAGGCACTATACTTTTGTGATACGACATTTATGCTCCATACTGTCTAACCTAAGCAATCCATTGAAACCCAATACAACTGCTTCACTGCAAAGTCTATTTTTCAGAATCTGAAATTAGGGATTTTCTCCCTTTGTACATTTTCTTCCTTTCTTGCTGCAGTTTTGCCCCTTTTCAGTTGTCTTGTTTCTTTATTTGTGTGTGGTTTTATTGTATCACGATCTTACTATTGGCTGTTTGAAAGGTTTTTGTTGATTTTGTCAGACAGGTGATAATTTGTCCTGTTGCTGAAGTTGTAGTGGGTGGTATTGATGTACTGGAGTCTGTTATCCTGTCAAATGTTCATAATATTGTGCTCTCCTCATGTTTGTTAATAAGACCGAGAAAACATACCTTTCAAAATAAAACACTTCAATACACCAGCACCACCCACTACATCTTCAATACTAGTCTGATCATGTCAGTGAAAACTAAAAATTTGGAAGTTTCCTGACAGTACCTCTTGGTGTTCATTATATTATGGCTGACTGGTGTATACGTTATAACCTAGCTACCTGAAGTTTTGAACGCTAGATTTGTCTGTTTGACAACCAGTTTTATTTGATATCATCAAGTAGCATCAGCCACATGGTTTGTGCACGATTCTGGAATTAATCCATCAACCTAGTTTGTAGTAAGATATTTAAAAACAGTTTTTACGGCCACCGACAGACCATTTGGATGTAGGAGGTGTTTCATAACCAAGTGAACAGCCGTTGTTTGTGGGTGTTGGCAGCTCTGGAGCATCTACGAGGAGGGCGCTCGTGGTGGATGACTCAGACTGCATTGGCGAACAACAATACGGCCCATAGAGGAGCAGACTTTGCCTTGGCCGTCTGTCGTGGCCTGCACCATCAGCAGACGTCCAGGATGAATTTAAGCTTTGTTTGCCAGTCATGATGCTCAACAGTCGCCCAGCTGACGTGATTAGCATGCTGACGAAGGCCCAAAAATGACAATCTGAACCTGTGTTTGAACATAAACACAAGCCGTTTTCTTGGATCCCCTCATTTCGGCATCAAACGGAGCCATTCAAAGAAAGTTTGATATAAAAACAAAAGCTAAGCCCAGCAAGACTTAGCATCACAGCCCTGTTTTGGCTATAAACAAGAAAAGGCTGCTTTCTGTTTGCCGATTGTCCCGGAACACAATGCTGTCTCCTTATCATGATGTGATCAGTTTGGATAATCCTATTCCCACATGTCCTCAAATCCTGACAGAGTCTGTTTTTATTTTTTGAGCATCAAGAAAACATAAGACCATGCTGAAAATAGTTTGCTATCTAATAATCACACATCAGCCTCTGGGTAGATCTGAAAATAGCTCAATGACCAAACAGTTTCTCCTAAAATGCAGTTACTTTTATATTAGTTGTTGTTTCATGATAAAGTCAGACTGGAGCTTCCACTGAGGATACTGAGGTTGTAGTTTGTAAAATAATGGTGGTATTTTGAAGTTTAGAAACAACAAAACTGAGGATCACTAATAATTCTAATACTTCTATTTCTATGGTGTGTTGACCGCTTTTATTAGGTGTCATTGACAGGGAAGGGAAGTGAAAAGGCGATCCAAGAAGAGTGCTATTTGTCAACTGGAGATTACAATGCAAGAGGAAATTGACAATGGGTACGCAGGTCCTGATCCACACACAAGTTAATTAGGATGACACTGAGAGGAATTTATACCACAGCGAGAGACAGTGAGGACTGGCTGAGCTGGCTTTACAAGTGGAAACAACAGTGAAAACATACTTGCAGAACATCCTACTGTATGATATAGGCCTCTTCATTACAACAACACATAAAGCATACAGCGTTAATGAGTAGCTACCTAGACTTGTCTGGAAACACTGGTAAATGATTGGGTCCTTTTCTTTCCTTCGATGGACAAGGTTGGTACTGACATATGTGTTGCACTATGTGAAGACCAGGCTAACCGTGCCAAGGCTTGACCGATGCAAGTCCAGGCCAGCAGGGAACATAGAGGGTCAGCTGTGTGTGATGAAATTCAAAATGACCGTTTTAAACAGCATGGATGAAGGGTAAACAGAGACCTTGCGAGTTCAGAGAAGGCTGAATGACGTCGTTGAATCAAACCGGTACAGGGCATCAGAGGACGGATGAGATCTCAGGAGGCAATCCCTCATCAAATCAGATCCGTAATCCACCTAGACTGTTTTTTGGCGCCAAGACAACAGAAGTGACGTCAGAGCTCGCTGATTTGGTTTGGGTTTTTTTCTCAAGGTGATGTCCCGTGGATCACCCCCCCAGCTGATAGAGAAACATATAACAGTCTGAGCTTTTTTTCTCAGAATCACTTTGAGGTCATGTTTTATATCCGGTCAGTCCAGCTGTTTGGATTAAGCCCTGCATGTGTGTCACTGCTGCACAGTAAACATGCAGTCTGGACCACAGGGCTGCAAGGGAAGCTTCTGTTGAAAACTACCGATTTAAGTGAGAGTTATGTAAGCATCATTACACCACACTGAGTCGGCATGTGAATAATGCCTTTGTGTGAGTGTGTTACACGCTCACGTCAGCTGACCAGCATCACCGAGCTCCGGGAGATGCCAGCTTGTCTGTTGTAATTATGTTAATGGGCCTGCAAGTAGAATTTTTTAATAAAAGATGAAGATTTCGATCCAAAAAATCAGCAAAAACGCCAATCAGAAGTTTCCAAACCCTCAAGCGAAGGCCTTAGTGTTTCTTTTCTTTGTCTGGATTTCACAGTTGAGGCCAATCTGGCTGGTGGAGCGACGAGATTTACATCACACCTCTTCCACTGACTAAAACTGACTCTCCTCAAGTCTTCAACAGTGTTTGTTGAGTTTCTTCACACCATTACATCTGAAAGCTCTGTCTACATTTCAACTCTAATGTTCCCCTACTGTGTCTGTCTGTATGATGAGGTACTTTATATGGACCCACAGGTCAGTTTTGTCCTGGTGCCTCCTCTTCAACTGAATCAAAAGGTGAGCTGGGGTGCTGCTGCTGCTGCTGCTCCAGTTGGTTCCTCCTCATACAGCAGCTTCCGGCCAAAAACTCTTACGAAATCACACAAGATCTGAGCAGCTTTGTAAGGTCACGGTTAAAGCGTCATTAAGGTTTGATTGAGACTTTGGGGTCTAATGAGCGAATAATCCTTTTCACCTGATCCCTGTTTGCAGAAAGTAGTATTTTTGTTCCTCACAGCTTGGAAAAAGACGCTGTAAGGATTCCAAGCCCATGTTCACACTTTAAAGAATAGAAGGTCCGCACGAATTATCATTTTGACAAGCTTTACTGCTCGAAGATCTAAATTACAGCTTCATCATGCCACAAGTGTAACAAAGACTGGTCTGAGACTGTTCAGGTATATATAGCCGTCCACGTTCCCAAATATTCTGCTTGCATCTTGTTGACCTGAAGGAAGTCCATGCATATTTTGGGAGCCTGAGTGATGTTAAACATGGGTACAAGGTCCTTGTTGAGGATGGTTGTCAGAGGCCCATGGCTCCAGAAATCTAGCACCAAAGTATCCGAAGTATTTGAGTGACACAGCTCCACCAACCTCGAGGATGACATGACTGGCTAAAGAAAATCACCCTGACAGACGCCTATATCTTAAATAAAATATCACTTTAGACTATTCAAACATGCTCGCCTTATTGTAATATAGTGTTCACACCAGATGCAAACAAATAACTCGTACATGTGAAATAACTAAGTTAATGTAAAGACGTGAGACAGATGTGAGTTCTTGTTGGGCACGAATACGAGGATTTGTGTGAGTTGTGCAAACAAATTGCACAATTTCGCGATGTGTTCACTGCCCTGCACTCCTCATTTGCTTATTTGTGAGAGTTAAAAAGTCTGAACTCAAGGAAATCACTTGCATCACAATAGCCAACCAGTTTGGATCATATGCCAACAACTGTGGACAACAGTGGAGGTTCGTTTATCTAGAAAGTGGATGACAAACTGACATGACCCTGAACTATATGATACAACTTGTTTTTTTCCCGAAACAGGAGTAAAAAAAGGAGGTATCTCAAAGGAAAGGGAGTGAGGAGGTTGGATTTCTTGGTAAATCATAAAAAAATGGCAAATTCCCACAATGTCTTCAACCTCAACCATGTTTGATAAAAACATACGGAGACAACGTGAGGAAACACCTCCTCTCTCGCATAAATAAATAGGATATTTCCTGTTAATGGAACAAGTGAAAAAACACAAAATATTCAGGCAACTTCAAAAAGGCCATGATTTCAACAAACCCTGTCTTCCTGACCTCAACACATTGATATATTTTGCGACGTACTGCCACTGCTATCAAATGAGCAGCATGACTAGATAGAGGACGGACTACACAACATAAAAACGTCACTCCCACCCACCCACTCTCAAGGAATTAGAAGATATCCTGCTGTGTTGAGCTCACCCGGTTTGTCACCAGAAGGAAATAATCCCGCTGAAGTCAGGGTGGAA